CGGTTAACCGACCGTCCTAGTCGGCAAATTTCAAATGTCCGCTAGTGATGTGGCGCTACAATATTTGGCTATGACTTGGCTACTTTAATATTATTTTTACGTGTTTTAGCTGGCAACACTGATTCGACCATGAAAGGGAGCCAGTATTTAAACGAGGCTTAATTTTCTAATTTTTAACAATATAATAGCGACGATTATTATTTTAAAAAATTTTTGTTAGGCTTAACATCAATGAAAATTCAACACAAAGTAGGTTAATAGCGATATACTAATTACATGGGATACAATAATATACTACACTAATAATGGATTTTTTCATACTTTTCGGTTATCCGACTTTTCAATTATCTGACCAACCCTAGTCCCCAATTGAGTCGGATAATGGATGCTCTACTGTATTTAAGATGTGCAGTCATAAATACTCCTTTTTTTAATTTTGGGATTGTTTATAAAAACCAATAGTATCATTAACATTTTAGTCAAATTTTATATTTATTAAGAGTATTTCTAAACTATTAATGTTGCTTTCAATTAAATAAATTTATGATTTTTCTGGCTAATTCATGATTTATATTATTCAATATTTCTTTTTTTGTACATATATTTTGCAAAAATGTTATAAATAAACGTTCTAAAATTTTGCATTTTTATTTATAACGTTCATAATAATAAATTATCAATAATCAATATCTTATGTTCATATGATTATTCTTAGCAATATTAAAATAAATTTGTTTCAATTTTCCATTGTTTTGTGATATTTATCACTTTATTTGCTTTTTATTTATTATATCGTATCTGAATATCTTTAACTTCATGTTCAGTCATAAAGGTTAATGTTTGCTTCTGTATCACTCACTATCTTATATATTTAAAATAAAAAATTTCCTGTATATCTGTGTATTGTATAACATAACTGATAATTAATAAAGAAATTAATACCTAGAAGCTAATAAAGATAATTTTATTAATTGTATGTGAACTAATGATATTAGTCTAAAATATTTTATTATTGAAATTTTAAATCAAATTAATTGTTTATTGCAGAATATGTAATACATTATTAAATAAAAATTCTAAAAATGATACCGTATACTATAATTTTATGTGAAATTTATAGATATACAGTAGAGCGTTGATTATCCGAAAGTCAATTATCCGAAACGTCAATCATCCGAAAGAATTCCAGTTGCCAAATTTAAATTTTTGCCAGTGCTGTGGCACTGCAATCTTTGGCTATGTCTTGGGCTACTCAAATATTTTATGTTTTTGATACTAAATTAACTTCTGAAGTATAATTTTTTATTGTTTTTATATTTTTCAATATATTTATTTTGTTCATACAAAATAAAAAAATAATTTTTAACGATACAATAGTCTTCATTAGGCTTAACATCGACAAAAATTCAACGCGAAGTGACACGCAATGGAGAAAAATGTCAAGATGGGATAAATTAATATATTTTTTCGTACATAATCGGTTATCCGAAACATCGATCTTCCGAACAATCCCAGTCCCAATTGATTTGGATAATCGATGCTCTACTGTATTTGATAAGGTTATTTTAATTCAATAGGGAAATTTCTTCTCCTATATAGTTGATTTATTGCCAATTTACATATCATATTTACTCTAATATCATTGACTCTAAAACACACCTTAATTTCTACATGCGAATCCTCAGAACAGAACTGATCTGTTAATTTTGAATCTAAATTTATTTGATATTTATTACTCAGTAAAGTAAGTTATATCACTATCTTATATGGTATCAAAGTTGGAAATCTAATTCACTTCCTGTGTTAGATTCTTCTTAATCAACACTGGAGTCAAAGCTCACATCTTTCCATATTTAATTATCTTCAGTGCCATTTAAAGCATCAGAAATGGAATATTTCCTGAAAGAGTGCTGCATAACTTTTTCTGGAATTTCATCTAAGTAATTATGATGTTTCTGTAGGGGACTAATGAAATTGAGCTAAATTGACTTCTTAAATATTTACTATTAAAAATATGGTGTAATAAAATCATTAGAATACTTAATGCAACTTGACTTAATAGAATTAGTGATAGAAATAAGACACATGACACTAGAGGTTGCTAATTATAACATATTACATCAAATCTAAGATTCATCCTATTTTGAGAGATACTAAAACCTGAAAAAAGTGAATCTTACATTCAAGTAAGTACAACATATAATAGTATCATAATGAGTCAAACTTTACGTTAGCTAAAAAAAGATTAAAAATATATAAGTTATAGTTATAAATACATAATTTTCAATTAAGGTAGATATATAAACTATGCTTAATATATAAACTAATAAATTCATTGAAAATATTTGACATTTAATAAAATATACTCGCTCTGTGTACTGTAATGATTTTCTTGAATTTGTAGAATGTAATTTGAAAATTATACTATGCTTTATTTTGCTTTAAATATATATATATAACATACTTTGATATAGTATTTATAGTAATTTTTTTATTATATATTTTTTTTTAGTATTAAATTTGAGACACGAAAATTTTTATTTTCAATGAATTATTTATATATCAAAAATTATTTTTCAGAATTATTTACACAATTAAAACCTGAATTAGTAAGTCCAGTTGTAACTTGGCTTTGTCATGAGACTTGTCTAGAAAATGGTGGAGTATTTGAAGCAGCAGGAGGTTGGATAGGAAAATGTAAGTTAAGCTACTTTTTTAAAAACTGATAGTTTTGAACTTAACATGCTTATTCCAAATTTTCAGTAAATATATTAAATAAATAAGATATAAGTAAAAATTTATTTTAAAAAAAGTAATTTTTAAATAATTTAGTTCAGTGGCAGCGATCCATTGGTAAAGCATTTCAGTCTGGTTCTCTTACTCCAGAAAATGGTAAATATTAATAGATTTTTTTTAAAAAACATTAAGCTGGTATACCTTAAATTAAAAATTTGTTTTGTAGTTCGTGATAATTGGAAGGAAATAACTGATTTGAATGGAGCAACTTCTCCTCTTACTGTGCAAGGTACTGTACCTATATTTGTTTTGATACCCACAAAATTTGTATAATAAAAACTTTCAGATAATTTTTTGTTATATTACTTTTTCTTGTTCTTAGTTTTTAAATATTAGATAAATGTAAAAATTTTTATGTTGAATTAACTAAAGATAACTATTATCATTATGATAGCAGAAAAAAGTTTAATTGAATGAATACGAGCATTAAAACATTGACATTACAATTATATATTATAACATGGAAACTTTCAGACCAGAATATCAAAAATATTACATGTGAAAAGGAATAATTGAATGTTTAGATATTTTATCTTTCTGAAAGATAAATTTTAAAATTTATACTTTTATTTCACTTTACATATATCTGCTTTTGTGTATTTATTTAAAATATTAGAATATCAGTGTAAGAAGCCAGACTTAACCTGTTCATTTGATGTCAGATTGGTGAGATCCAATCACTTTGTCACTGGTTGGCGTAATCTAGTAATTGTCGTTGGGATTGCAAGATCCTTTTGACGTCAGGACTTGACACCAGTTAGGATAATAAAAGTTTGTGTCCTAACTCACAGATTTTTCAATATATTCAGGTTTAATTATGTTCAAATAGGAGGGACTCTGTAGTTCAAGTGGGAGGGCTAGCAAGGTAAGGTGTCAGCAATACACAAGTAAGAGCAATCATCGTAAAAATTCAACAAATTTAATAGAAACTGCAGGATTACAAACAAAAATCTAGGCACAAGAAATATAGTAGCCTCGATCTAGCTTCTAATATACTAGAGAGTGCTACTAATACTGACTTCTAATAACTATTACCTACCAAGAGAGAGAGTGTACATAAATCAGTTAATTATCATACCTCTTAGCAGTAGTGGCTGTTGTCTCAGAGGTAAACTATCTGTGGAGGACTGGGGAAACATTTGGGACAACACCTGCAAAAGACATAAAAAGATTGTAAGATTGTAAACAGATACTCCTTAGGGACTGATTGCTTCAAAGATCGGATGTGCTGTCATTATATCCTCATCGGGTATGGGAATTTGGTCAGGTGACCTTTTGTTTGGTAGTGATGACACTTTGAATGTGTCATTGCTGGGGCAGTGAGAATTAGTTTATTCAGGGCAGATAGTTTACTATTTCTTTCGATTGATTTTAGATTCTCTCCGTGGACTTGTTTAAATGTCAACTTTTTTAAACATTAACAATTAATTGTTATAACTTATTTTTGAAACTTCTCAGGTTGATGAGAAGGAGAAGAGACTTGTCGTTTCAAAGACCCCTCTCCTAACACGAGTTCCCTAGTCGATTGTTGACAGTTAATTTAACATTCAATCATGTCCTGTTTTTGACTTCATGGGAACTGGATGGAATAAAGAAAAGTTTCTTATAATTCCCCCTTTTTTTGCAAATTTATGGAAAAACAATTTCCCGAATCTCACATCAGTTTCTCAATAAATAAATGTATAAGTCTCTAAATATTAATTGGCTTTATGCTTATTGTTTAATTTTCATGTTCTCGGGGAACATTTTCATTAATATTTTATTTTAAGGATAAAAGATGTTTAATGATTTAAAATACTTGATTGCTTGCTATTCTCTCAATTAGTTGTTTGTTCTTTGAAACTTAGCATAAAGTTGCTATTGAGAACAATAATATTGATACAGGAACACTCCTTTTGATGGAAAAAGGAGATTTATTTCTATAATTTACAACAAATATGCATTTTGGGCTTTATGCATCAATATACATAATAAAATAAGGACTGAAAAGGAGCTTAGAGCCTGAAATGCATATTTGTTGTAAATTATAGAAAATAAATCTTCTTACTCCATCAAAAGGAGTGTTCATGTATGATTTGTTCTCAATAGCAACTTTATATATATATATATATATATATATGCACGTATGTGTCCCTATATTTCACTTTTCAGCCAAAACTACACATCACACATGAATGGTGTTTGTATGTGGTAGTAGCCCCAAGTCTCCATTCATGCACTATGGTGGTCGCGTCTCAATAGCTATAAGGGTGCGGGAGATATGAGGGCTTAAAGTGGTTGACTTTGAAGATTTTCTATTTCGATTTTAAAAATGTTTGAACCGTTTTAAATTCGAATTTGTTATTGCGTATTCGTATTGTATGCGTTTTAGTAGGGTATGCCATGAGAATGGACACTAAGAAGGGATTTTTCTAAATTCTCCCGCGGGGGGAGAGGGAGAGGATTAAGCTTAACCGGAAGAATGGCTTCTACTGTACTATTTTAGATGCGATTTTTTGTTTTCAACTACGTTTAGTCTTCATCGAGTACTTAGGTGTATTAAATTGATCACATTTCAGACATTGTTTAAATATTTTTATATATTTCAATTTTAAAAATGTTCGAACCGTTTTAAATTCGAATTTGTAAATTCGAATTGGTTCGATTATAGAACGATTGTAAACGTTCCAGAAAATTGATCAAATTGAAAATAGTTCGTTTGACTGGATGTAAAAATTCTCTAATTAGTCTGGAAATGGGGGACCTAATTCTTGCATTCTGTGAAAACAGGTAAGATTGGCTATAATGTAATTATCTTAATCTTCACCATCGTTACTTTTTGCTCAGCGAAGTGGGTCCTTGCAGCTAGATTCTAGATTACTTAGAAAAACAGTCTTTTATATATAAAAAAAAACTATATTACATACAAATAAAAACCCAGCGAAGCGGGTTCTTGCAGCTAGTTATATAATGTTATAATGATGTATCATTTATTGCAACATTTGTAATTTAAATATTTGTTTTTAAAAGAAAAACTAAAATTTCTTCTTAGCAAGAAGACATTTTTTATTTTTTTACAATATAATTTATTTTTGTACATAAGTTTTGATAATATATTAAATGAAATAAAAACAATTTCTTAATTTTAATAATTTGACAAGCTTAAAAAATATTTCAAATATAAACTGAAAATTTATTTTATTTTTTATTTAATGTTTAATTATAGTTTATATTAACTTTTTTGGTTATTTTGAGATAAGTTATTGAGAACAAGTAGGATTGTTTTTACCTTGGATTAATAACATTCCTTTACTTCATCTATTATAAACAAAACAAAAAGGAAACAATATGTAGAAGACTAGATCATTTACTATGTATTTTTTTTGTTTGTTAATTATATTTTATGCTGATTACAGTAGAAAAGAATTGTTTATACTCTCTAGGTTATAGTAGTTAGGTTTAAATTGTAAACTACTTAATATTAGAATTAAAATAGTTAACATTCTTTAATTGATTTGTTGTTGTTGTTTTTTTTATATAAGTGACTAATTATTTATTAAATAATTCTTGTTGATTAAAACTTTTTTATAATAATTAGAGGAAATGCAGGAATTAATAGAAGCTATGACTGGTCAACTTCAAGTAAAGCATTCTTCAAGTGCAAATGGAGCAAAATATACTTATACTCCTGATAGTGCTATACTTTATGCATTGGGCAGTGGGTATACACTTAAACTATTTTTTCAAGTTCAGGAGTATTAATTAAATGAAAAATAATAATTTTTAATTTTATACAGTTGGTGTTTCTTCAAAACAAGATGATTATCTTAATTTTTTATATGAAGGAAGTGAAAATTTTTCTGTGCTTCCTACATTTGGTATTTTACCAGGAATGTGTGCAGTTTTTGATTTTACACCCTTTCAAGAAGAAATGCAGAGACTTAATGCTGATCCCACAAAAGTGAATATAAAATTATATTTAACTCAATTTTTAAATTTTAAGTTAATAATGTAAATTATTTTAATATTAGATGCTTCATGGAGAACAATACTTAGAACTTTATCAGCCTTTGAATCCTGCTGGTACATTATATTCAACATGTCGATTAGTGGATACTATAGATAAGGGAAGTGGTGCTGTGATTGTTGCAGATGGTAAGTATAACTCAGTACTTTATTTATAGTTTAATAAATCGCACTTCATTCTTTTTAATAATTTTTAGTTGATACATTTAATGAAAATGGGGAAAAAGTTGCTTACAACCAGTGGGTTGTATTTCTTGTTGGTGCTGGAAATTTTGGAGGGAAGCGTAATTCAGAAAAGATCAAAGCAGTTTTGCCAACACCAAATAGACCTGCTGATTCAGTTATTGAAGAAACTACACATATTGATCAGGTGTGTTTTGGTTATTGTTATGAACTATTTAATAAAACATTTTTTTAAATATATTTGAAATAAGTATATAATTGTTTATTTAATATGCAAATCATTATATTATGCAAGTAATGTATATAAAGGCTAAATCTTTTTTCAGTAATTTAGAAATACTTGACATAGATATTGAGAATTAGAAACATTAACTGTAAATACAAATTTAAGTCAGAATTAAACTATTAAAAAACTATATAAGAGAATTTACATTTGAAATATTTGATATAAAACAGAAAACTTAAATCTAATATATAATTTGTGTATATTCAGTTACAGCCAAATTAAATAATTGATGATAATACGTTAAATATACAGTAGTACCCCAAACTTACGCGATAGGTGGGACTGAGCAATAACCGTGTAAGTCAGGGTATAATTTCGCAATTTGTGTAAAATCCAAATCTGATGTATGTAAGCTAATAAATGTTCTCATTAACCTTATCTCGCCTTTTGATTCGTTCATGGTTACAAGAAATCATCACATAGAGTCTCTCAAGTATCCGTCGATATAACAAACACAGAAATAAATAACACAAAATAAATTGTAGCTATGTGTCGATTCTGCGTGGCACGTCCGAACATGTAAGCTAAACAATAGTGTGGGGGAGTGAGTAATCAAGAGTTGCATGGCGTTCAAACAAAAGACGAATCGACGAGATTTGAAAATCGCATAACTCCGGGTTCGCGTAAGTTGGGGTAGCGTAAGTCAATGTATTACTGTATTTTATTCAGAATTTTATAAATTTTAATTTGCAATAATTAACAGTGAAATAACATAATCAACCAATGATATAAAAATATTAATTTAAAATTTTATCATTATTCTTTTTCATAAAAATTATGATAAAATTAAATTTATGAAGTTTTAAGTATAGTTCAACTAAATTTATCTTAAAAAAGTCAATATTGGAAAATGTTATACAGTCATTCCTGCTTAATTTTAAATGCTTAGGACCTTGAAAATGGGACTTTGAATTATCCAATTTCAAACTAAAAGGGATAATTTTTTTATAAAACAAATATCTGCATGAATTTTTATACTGTTATACAGACTGTTCATGCTACGTATAGTGCCAAAAATTTTGTTAGAAAGCATTTTAAATTTTTAGATTTTTCAGTTTCTAATTGGGCTAGAATCAATACGTTTTTATTTTTTATCACAAACATATCATAGTTTATGATTGCTATACTTTTAATAAAGCACAGATTTATTTTATTTTTCATTTATTTAAGCATATTGGTTTCATTCATGATGTGGGAGAATACAAGCATATACAAATAAAGCACAGATTCAAAAAATTATTTTAAAAAATTTGAAAAAAAAACAAATTTTAATTATTATTTTTTAAATATTTACTGCATTAACTAGTTAGATCTGTTGTTTCTCTTTCAAAAAAATCAAATTTTAAGTTTCTATTGTAATTAAAACTCTGTAGAGCTTCGATTATTTCAAGAAATCGGGGCAAAGTCTAATTTTAATGGGGTAAATTGTAAGGATGCACCGATTAATTGGTAAGTAATCGGTAATTGGCCATATCGGCCACTTAGCCGATTAATCGGTATCGGCCATTCCCCCCGATTAATCGGTTTCAGTAATCGGCCAATTTTACATTTTGGTATTTTTGTTAGAATGTTATGTACAGTACAATGCTAGTAATAAAAACTAATAAATTTCTGTTATATATTTATTATTTATTACATGACAAACTGAATATTAAAAAAAATTTATTAATCAAATTATTCCTTTTATCAATACATATTATAAGTATAATATAACATATAATATAAAGTTTAAACTTTACATAAGAAAAAGTATTGAATAGGTTAAGAAGAAAAATTAAATTTTTATTTGTTTTATAAGTTTAAAGTTTAAACATATAAAACAAATAAAAATTTAATGTTTAAACTGTAAAACCCTTAAATTGTAATGTAAAAATATGAGAATTTTATCATTTTCAGGGCATAACCTATTTTTTGCTGGCTCATAAATGTTACCTTCAGTGCTGAAAATTTTTTCACTTTTGATGGAAGATGCTGAGGCTCTTAAATATTTCATAACTATTTTGCTCAAATTAGGAAAAAGTTCTTTTGAACTTTTCCACCAGAAAAATATGTCACTATGTCTTTGTTTGAGGGATAAATGTAAATATGTTTCTAATTCTTGATCGAAACGTTTGTTTGTCTCGTTTTTTCTTTCTTTTTAAAAAACATGCTATTCTTCATTCTTTTGTTTACCAGAAGCTAATTTATCAAATAAATCAGAAAAACTTAGAAATTCACCTCCATCTTGATCACCTCCAGAAGTAAAAGCTTCAGAATTTAATTTTTATTGAGATTTCCTCTACAATATTTTCTTTTTGAAATTTCATTTTGAATTTAATAAAAATGACAAGCATAAAGACTTGTATTCTATATATCAGGGGTGGCCAACCTGCGGCTCGCGAGCCGCATGCGGCTCTTTGAATGATTATTTGTGGCTCTCGATAAATGTACCCGAGTTCCCTTTTCATTTTTGTGTTATTATATTTTAAAAAATTATTATTGTTCCATATGTGTTTCAAAATGTCTTTTAAATTACTAACAACAAATATGAAAGATTAAGTGCAACGTTGTAACAAATTTCATTACCGTCCAAGTTAAGAATGATATGACTCATGGAAAACTGCGCGAACGAACATAAACAGTGGCGTAATCGTCCATTATTGACCGACTCCAGACCGATTTTGAATTTGTAAACTGTCATTGCAATGGACAGCTGACATTGTGCTCTGGAAGAAACAATTTGTATCACTCTTGATACGGATATAATTCTGGAATTTTTTGCATACCTTTTTAATACGTATTTAATTGCGGCTCACAAAAAATTTCGAATTTTGAAAAATGGCTCGGACTATCAAGAAGCTTGGCCACCCCTGCTATATAGGCTGAAAATCATTTTTTTTTTTTATTGGATTTTCTAGTTCTTCTGTTGTGGCTGTTTCTTTTCTAGTTCTTCTGTTTCTAGTCTTCTGTTGTTCTGTAATGCCACTAAAGGAACTACTGATCTTTGCTTTTGATAAGAATAATTTCAGAGTCTCTATTGTGGGAATTATTGAAGATGAAGTGGCTTCTCGTTTGCTGGTTTTCCATGGTAATTTCTTTGAATGGTTTTACAAGTAGAACAATTTTTTTTAACGAGAGACCACTGATATGGGCTCAACATAGGAATTTTATTATCTATAGCATATGTGACAAGGGCCTTTTGCTGTAGTATGTAGAATTCCAGCAAGTAGGAACATCTTGAATTAATTTGTGTTTCTGCAAACCTAACTTTTCTTGCAAATCTTCCAACTTGATTACAACTACAGCAGAATGATTAAAATGTGTGACAATATTTTTATTAACTGTGATTATAGTTTTCACATCTTGTTCAGAAAATATGCATTCGTTTAATGTCAGCTGCAGCGTATGTATAAAGCATGATAATGCTTCTAAGTTGCAATTCCTAATTCCAGCTACAAGATTTGCTGCAGAATCTCTTAGTACTAAGAATATCTTATCACTTGTCAACTTATACTGTTCAAGGACAATTTTTAACTGTTCACTGATTCATGTAGCTGTATGGGAACCTTCAAAGTAAACAATTTGCAAAACAGCTCTTTCTTGCTGAAAATCATCCTTCAACCAGTGGGCTGTTACACTTAAAAAAGGAGAACTGTTTGTAGTTGCTGTCCAAATATCAGTGGTTAAAGAAATATATTTTGTTTCTGTTAAACACAGAAACACTTCAGCTTTTTAAACAATGTCGAAGTTTCCATGTGTCAACAATTAAATATTGAGATTTATTTTAGAAACAAAGGAAGAGATTGTTGATTTTGCAAGGATATTCGATCGTCTCTTGTTTACCTGACCCGAGGGAGATGGAAATACCAGGTGGAGAAAAATGAGTTTTTTCCACATTATAATTAACTGTATAATTAACTCCAGGATCTCACACTATTAAAGCAATAAATTATTAACACTAATCAGCCGATTAATCGGTATCGGCCGATAATGCATGGCCGATTAATCGGTAATCGGCCATTTTGCTTATCGGTGCATCCTTAGTAAATAGCAGAACACTGCATATGGGAGACTGATGATATCATTTTACACACAGCTGTGCTTAGGCAGAAAGCTTCAATACACGTAGTTCAAAGAGGAATATAGTTCAATGCATTTTCCATGTAAAGTCTATGGAGAGTAATCTGAGATAGGTGAGTTGAGACTCCTAAACGTTAATTACAAACAATCCAATGTAGATATGGACATGAAAATTACACAGTTGGTAGTAAACATCTAAACAAACAAGAGACATTAAAATTTTAAATTAAACATGTCTCATTTTAGCATGTGGGGGAAATAAAAAGCCATTATAAGATCCACATGTAAGTGATACAGTATTTAACATGTTTATAAGTCATAAGAATCCAAAACCGAAACACTCATTTGCCAAGCTGAAGGGTATTTTCTAACAACTGTCAGAAAAGAAGTTGATTTTCCTGAAACAAAAACAAACAGTTTTCACCTAGCCCTACCAGGAGATAAGAACTGTTTTATAGTAATTTCATTACAGTATTCACTGTATAGTCTTCATATCAAAAGTGCTGAAGAGAAAGCGCTCAGAATTAACGTGGTGAAGGAGTTAGAAATTTTGGTGGCAGTAGACAAGAAGGAAAAAAAAAACTAAGGCAGAAATAGAAAAGGAATACAACATTCCTTTGTCTATGATCTATACATATCTGAAGAGCAGAAGTGCTCTTGAATCTTCTGCAGCTGCAGAAGGACACAACATTCATGGAAGCTGATTTGGATGAAGTCGTTTGTGAATGGTTTTGCAATGTAAGGGCAAGAAATGCTCCAATTTATGGCAGTATGTGCAAGGAATGTGATGACCAAAAGGCTGAACAGGTGGGCATAGACTTCAAATCTTCAAATGGATGGCTTTATTGTTTTCAAAAATGTCATTGAATTGTTTCTTTGATGTCAAGTGAAGAGGCAGCATCTATGGATTTAAAAGTTGAAAACTGGGAGGAGAGTGTTAAGCCTGTGATGGAAAATTATCTGCCAAGGGACATCTTTAATTCTGATGAAACAGGGCTGTTTTTGACTTGTCTACCAAATCAGATCCTCTCATATAAAGGTAAAAAATGTTGATCTGGAAAAAGTCCAAAGTGCAGGTGACAGTTTTGCTTGCTTGCAATGCCGATGCTAATGAGAAATTCACTCCATTTGTTATTGGTCAGTATACGAAACCTCAGTGTTTCAAGGTAATTCCTCATATTCCATGTGAATATGCTTCCAGTAAAAATGCTTGGATAACTGGCAAGTTATTTCATGAATGGTTGCTTTGACTGGACTGAATAATGATGGCAGAAAAGAGGAAAATTGTTCTCTCCATGGATAGATGTACTGCCCACAATCAAAGAGAAGTCATCCTGGAGTCCATATGGATACTTCTTTTGCTGCCGAATTCAACTGCTATGCTGCAGCCATTAGATCAAGGAATAATTCTCTTCTTCAAATCATTTATTGGCAGTATTTAGTGTGCTAAGAGTAGTATTTAGTATGCTTAAGAGAAATTAAGTATAGGAATGTTCAAATTGATGCTGCAAGAAATTGGATGGTTTTGGATTCACTTAGAAACATTGCTTCTTCCTGGGAAGCTGTGACACCTGATGTAATTAAAAACTACTGCTATAAAAGTGGTCTGACTCACCAGGAACTGGAGGTGTTGCAGATGATATGGCTCTTGAATGCCCTGAATGGGAAGAATTCTCTTGCAAAGACATGCAAGGAAATTTCAAAGACTTTGTCAAATTGGATAATGAACTATAAACGTCTGCCTCTCTTAGTGAAATTCAGGAAGATCCTTGTCAACAACAAAAGAAAGCAACAGCAAAAGAGGATGATGATGAACAACAAGAAGGAAAAGAAGAAGAGAAACCCGTGTCCATTTCAATTGGAAACACTTTCCACAATAAGAGTTTTGGATGCTTTAATTGCTTGTAAGGATGTACTGTACATCAAAATGTTTTTGAAGCATTTGACAAACTAAGCAACTTTGTTCAGGACTGCTATCAACCTGGATGCAATCAAAAATAGACAGCTATTTTAAGAAAGTTATATTATACTGCATTAAGTTTTATAGTATTATCATTTATATTATTTATATCATCAGTTATATATCATTTATATTTTAAGAAAGTGTAATTTAATAAATAAAAAATTCCTGCTTATTTACTGTGTTTTTTTTAATTGATGATTTTAATTTATTGCATAAAACTCAGAAAAAACATGTCAGTTGGCTTTATAAGTTCCCTTTTTTAACAAAAATGTACAAAAAAATGTTTTTTAATTTAATTTTAATGTGATTTAGTTGGAAGTGATGTCACATGACATTGAGAAATGTAGATGTTTCTGATTCTGACTTAGTTTACATTTTGTTTCTCCTGCCACACTGAACCATTTCCTGTAAACAGTGGTTGGGTGTTGATACATGTGTCATGTCACTTCACTTCAAATTAATGGAGAAAAGAGTTGTTTGGGATCAAAATTCCACTTTGAATTAACAGAAAGCAAGTTCAAACTTACTAAATGAACTAAAACATTAGGAATTGCCATTAAGGCATCCAGGAAATCACAAGTATTTCAAACTAAATGGGGTTTCGAATTAAGTGGGGATGGCTGTATAAACAGATTCACATAATAACATAAATAAAAGTAGTTAGTAGGTGATATTTATTGATTTATTAGTTGTATAAATACAATTTTTAAAAAATCTTATTTAATTATTCTTTTAAAATTAGTCACACAATGAAAACAATTTAAACTTGAATTTAAAAGAAGTTTTGTGTATTACTTAAAGAATGAATTTATTTTTTAGGCAGCTTTATATCGACTCTCTGGGGATAAAAATCCAATACATATTGATCCTGTTTTTGCAAGTTTAGGTGGTAAGGAAGTCTAGTTTTTTAATTTTCTGTTTATATCAAGTTTTTATTTATTTCTTTTAAACTACACATTACAATGCTAGTTGACTTACATTAAAATAATCTAAGAAAGTTAAGTCAAGAGAAATAAAAATAAATATAGAACCAGGGTGGCCAAGCTCCTTGATAGTCCGAGCCATTTTTCAAAATTTGAAATTTTTGGCGAGCCGCAATTAAATACGTATTAAAAAGGTATGCAAAAAAGGTATTAAAAATTTTTTTACAGAAATTATATTTATTGAAAACATATAAATAAAAGTACAAAATATGTGTATTGAATTTAAATATTAAAAATTAGTGTTGTAATGAATAGTATATTTTGGCCTCAGGCTGAATACTGAATATTCGACCAGGAGCATGGCTGAATAGCCAAATATTCGGCCAAACTATTCAGCTCGATTAACGCACGTACGAAAATTGGTGGCAAACCGCATTATGGCAAGGATCCTGCTCTCTATTGGCCCACTGTCACTACGCTTCGCCAATTGCATTAATTCTTGGCAGTTGTAGCGGACAGACAAGAATGTCATGGAAGTATGTGATAAATGATGATATCAAATGTGGATAACAATGAAATGACCTACACGTGTAAATAACAGAAAAAGAACAGAGAAGGACCGCGAAGTGAAAATGTGAAAATAAATATGAAATTGAGTTGATAACATAATTGAACAAGTCGAGGCAGCTTATTGGCATGAAATTCGCTGCCGTCAATGCCAAACAATTGTTGTCATAGACTTCGGAAAGCTAAATGCTTGTAATGTAAGTCACTTAGCGTGCACGGGCGAAAGCCTGGGGCCGTTCGGGCTATCAAGCTGTCTCGAATCTGTGAAATCATAACTGTGACTTATATCGACGTCCTATCTGTCTCTTTTCTCCGTTATCACCAGGCTGAGTCACGTAATTGTAAAATGGGAACTCTACGACGGAAAAGTGACGAATCGAAAGTATCGTGAGCGCGTATTATGATGTATGCACAGGCATACATGGATTAGAGCGATAGAGGAAAGAGAAAGGGAAGAGCAAAGACGAGCGCTTAAAAAGAAGGATAGGCAAGGTCAGACCCTCAGATGTGCGAGGATTCTCCAACGATACAGACGTGTACGTGTGCTGATCTTTGTAATTATAAATTGTGAATACATGTGACTAATATTATTTTCTTTTTTATTTTGTGCATGTTACAAGTTATAAATAAATATAAACAAACAACACTAACTCGATAACATTAAATCTAAATACCAAAATGATTAATTTGCTGTGTTTTTGTTATTTATTACTCCTGTTTTTAGGTATTCGGTACTCGGCCGAATAGTGAAAAATAGGCCGAATAGTAACCGAATATTCGTTACATCGTTACATCACTATTAAAAATTAAACACATTTATTTTACTTCTTTTGATAATTCTTTAAAATTTGGTGAATAATTGGTGACAGCACTTCTCAGTAATTCTTTCAGATGCTGGTTAGTTAATACTGATCGGTGTTTGGATTTCACAAATTTTAAAGTGGAATAAAATGATTCACATAAGTACGTTGTTCCAAATATTGGAATAATTTGACAAGCAGCCCTTTTGTAATTCAGGATACTTTGATTCTGGTACAAGTTTCCAAAATTCAGTAATCGACGTTGATTTATATTTTAATTGTAGAGCTTGATCTTCTTGCATCTCTATTTATTCTAATTCTCCAGATGCTTTTTGGGTCATAATTATATTGGAAATGGAAAACTCACCTTAAATTATGTTAATTTCAAATGGATTTAGAAAAAAATCAAGAGACGATTTAAAATATTTCAAGTCTTGAAATCTATTTTGGGATTCTGTCAATATTCCTTCTAGCTTTTTCATATACTCGTTGAGTTTTTCTTGTTTAATATTGGAACAAATTTTTTTAATTCGAGGAAAATGACAAAATGTTTTACTTTTAATGTCCTTTTGAAAAAGTTGTAATTTAGTTTGAAAACTAAGTATACACTGTGAGAGATCAGATATTATTTTATCTTTTCCCTGCAATTGTAAATTCAGTGTTTGCAAATGTTCCATGACATCATTCAAAAACATTAAGTCTTGTAACCACTCGTCATCGTCTAATTCTGAATAGATTATTTCCTTTTCTTTTAGAAATGCAGTTATCGGATCAAACAAATCTACAAATCGATTTAATACGTTGTAGCTATATAACCATCTAACAATGCAAAAGAAATTAATGTCATTTAGAAGTTCTTCGTCCTTTAATTCTTCAAGGAAATTTTTGAATTGTCAATGATTTTTTGCATTGGTGCGAATGTAATTTACAATGTGTAACACTGTTTTCATAACATCAGGATATTTTAAATATTTTGTAACAAGATGTTCTCGGTGAATTATGCAGTGAATCAGTATGAATTGTGGAATTTGATAATCATCTTTTAAAAGCCCAATAAGACCGACTTTTTTACCCAGCATTGCCGGAGCTCCATCAGTTACAATGCTTACAAGTTTATTAAGAGGCACATCAAAAGTTTTCATTACGGAATCTAATGCATTTTTAATATCGACACTGCGGGTTGACTCTTAAAGTGCTACTAAATCTAATAATTATTCTTTAACAACGAAGTCAGGTGAAACAAAACGTATGAAAACTGCCAATTGCGGAAGATCTGTGATATCTGTCGATTCGTCAAGGGCTAAGCTGAATGCAATACAGTTCTTCAAATCATTTTTTAAATGATATTCAAGAGATATATTAATTGCAGTTATGCGTCGTTCGGTTGTGTGTCTGGAGATGGGAATTTGCGAAACAACTATGTGCAATGCTGCATTATTTGGATCTAAAACTTTAAGTACATCTTCCAAGTTTTTTAAATAAACTCTCCCTCTCCATACGGGCGTTTTGCACGAGCAATATTCCAGGCAATAACAAAACTGGCTTCAGCCAAATTATTAGCTTGATTGCTAAAGGTCGTCAAAATTGACTGTTGTTTATTTAAATTTGATTTTAAAGAAGCAAGTTTAACTGATCTTAATTTGGAATTTGGGGGATACTGATTAGAAAACTGAGGATGATTGGTTTCATAATGTCGACATAAATTGCTAGCTTTATAATTTTTTACCGTAGAATTACAAATAACACATAATGCTTTTCCGTTATTGTCAACAAAAAAGAAATTCTCCTCCCACTCATTATTAAAACTTTTATTTTCTTGCTCGTATTTTCTTTTTTTATTTTCGTTCTCTGCCGTCATTTTTTTAAAAGAACTTGAATTAAATAAAGAAATTTAGAAAATACAAGTTTTGTGTTATTAAAACAATAACAACACATGTTACATACTATGAAACAAATTATAGTTAACTTACCAAAAATTCCAGATTACAAATTATGTCCGTAGCAAGAGTGATACAAATTGTTTCCTCCAGAGCACAATGTCAACTGTCCGTTGCAATGACAGTTTACAAATTCAAAATTGGTCTGGAGTCGGTTGATAACGGACGATTACGCCACTGTTTATGTTCGTTCGCGCAGTTTTTGATGAGTCATATCATTCTTAACTTGGACGGAAATGAAATTTGTTACGATGTTGCACTTAGTCTTTCATATTTGTTGTTAGTAATTTAAAAGACATTCTGAAACACATATGGAACGATAATAATTTTTTAAAATATAATAACACAAAAGTGAAAAGGGAACTCGGGTACATTTATCGAGAACCACAAATAATCCTTCAAAGTGCCGCACGTGGCTCGCGAGCTGCAGATTGGCCACCCCTGATATAGAATAAAGAAATAAACAAATTCAATATTTAGAAAATTATGTAAATATAAACTAAAGTTTTTTTTTATTGAAAAAGCAATACTTTGAAATGATTATTATTATATATAGCATTGTAAATTAATTAGCATTGCAAAAATATACCTTTTTAAAAAAGATTAATCAACAGGCTATTCTAAACCAATTATGCATGGTTTATGCTCACTTGGATTTGCTGCACGTCATGTTCTTAAACAGTATGCCAATAATGATGTGAAAAAATTTAAAGCAATAAAGGTAATTGATTATTACTGTATAATTATACATTTGTACTTATATATATATATATATACATATTATTAATTAATATAANAATTATAATTATATAATTAAATTTTTAATTTTAAAAAATAAATTTCATTTTTGTAATAGGCAAGATTTGCACGTCCAATTGAACCAGGGCAAACAATAAGGACTGAAATGTGGAATGAAGGAGGGAGAGTATACTTTCAATCATCGGTAATTTTTCTTAAATTGATAATTTTTATCTATAATTAAGAACAAAATTTAAATTAAAACATAGTTCTATTTTAAGAATATTGAACACTGAATTTTATTATTTAGGTTGCAGAAACCAATAAACCTCTTTTATCTGGAGGATATGTAGATTTTGTAACTGCATTACCAACTGAAGTTCCAAAATCTGTAAGTTAAAATATTCTTAGTATCTAAGAAAGTGATAAACTTTTCTGTTGTAAAAACATTCAGTTTTTTTTAATGTATATTTTGTTGTATTTTTACATAAATATTTTTAAAAGTTTTTATTACACATATATAATATATCCGTAAATGATGATAAACAATTAGAAAAATTTTATAAATGATAAAGTAATACATATACAAAAAGTTGAATTATTATAAAGAAAATTCAGAAAATATTTTTTTCTTTTACATTTTATGAAATTTATTTTGTATGTTTTTTTTGTTGTAAACAAATTAAGATATAAATAATTTCATGCCAAACTTTTTGCTGATAAGTTTTGATAATTGCTCTGTACACAATTCAAATTATTTATCAGTATAAGATTTGATCATGTAATAAATGTTATCTCTTGTAAAATACTCATATGAAATTAAGGGAGTTTTGAAACACTACTATCTCCACTTTACTGCTATTATATATTTTACTTGCCATTAACAAGTCTTTAGTTCTAAAGTTAAATTTAAATGACAGTTTCTAATATATGTCATTTGTCTTACCATTCATAATATCACAAGCATATATAATAATAAATATAGGGTCTTTCAAGCAATGTGCCCCAACTATTTCTTGGTTATTGTCATGAACTCATATTGATTAATAAACATACATTCTTTTGTCAATGTGAAGATGTGTCTGTTTTATTTTTCAGACTAAATGACATCCTGGAAGTATCCTGGCACCAATCATGCCAATTGTTTTGAAAATCTTTATCACTTTCACCAGTATAACTTTCAATCTTGTCAAAAATACTCACAATGACTTTCATCAGGTTGTTGATTCTCAGGATCTTTCTATACACACTGCTGTCCTTCACAAAACACCATAGGAAGTAGTCATGAGGATTCAGACCTTGCAAATAGAGAACCTATTCCACACTCTTCTGGAACAACCTTACTGCATAGTTGAATATCAAAAAGTCACAAAAAAATGCTGAAAAGGAGTTCTGTATTGTTATTAGCAGTGTGTTGTCGAGTGCTGTCTTTCATAAATCATATTTTTTTTCCAAATTTTCTAACTTGATTAAAAAAAAAAGAAAGTAAAACTTCATTTTTATGGATGTTGGAATAAACAATGGTATTGAAGATTTAATAACTAATATTGGTCTAATTATGCCTTGGTGACTTGTTGCTGTCCAGATAGTTGTTTTCTGAGGATGTAGTGACATCTTTATGAATTTCTGGGAACCCCCAGCAATTCATAAAGATGATGGCCCAGAATTGATAATTTTTCCAATTGACATATCCTCCCAGATGGAAGTGCACTTTGTCTGAAAAGCATACAAATAGAGCATCCATAACTTTATCATCAATTAGATTGAGAATTGCATTCACTATATTGGTTCTACATTGTTCCATTTCCTGGAGAATTGCTTGGATTTTGTATGTATACAATATACAATGTTCCATTGCAAAATTTGATGGATGTTGTTCTGTGATACTTCAGTTTTCTGAATAATTCTATTGATAGAATCTCTCAGGGACACCAAAACAGTCTCTGACTTTCCAGGTGTTGGTTCAACTAGGTTACTGGCCCTTTTCCCTTGTTCACTGGAGGTTAATGTTCAGTGGACAACGTATGTACTGTACTTGTGAAACCAGTTGTAAAGTTGCTGGACACATTGTGAATTCAACTTCTTACTCATTCCTGGATCAAATTCAATTATTAAAGTTCAATATGTCATGATGACAACCTTCCTGTGCATCAAAAATGCTTCACAATCCAAATTTTTTTGTTCAAGTTTTAAGGGTTGTTACTAAAACTGTTTTTTCTTTATAGACTCAAACAGTAATGTCATCTGCATCTATGAGATTATCCAAACTAATTTACATGAGTAGTTGCTGCGATATAATGATCTTTGCACATGGTTATAAAGATCTTACAGAAACAATATAATAATTGAAAGAATTTTTACATGTATAGAATAAGTAGTTTGTTGCTATTACATCTTATAAAATACAGGAGAAAATAAGATGTAAGAAATAATTTTGTGACAGAAGAATTTATTAGTTTTTTTCTACTTTGATAATGATTTGAATTTGTATTTCTATAAATTTCATACATAAGCAATAAATATATTTCCATTTAGTATCTACTGTATTCAATTTTAATTATACAATTTGAAATGTTTCTACTGTACTAACAAGAAAAGTAGTTGTGCTCCATATTTATGAAATTTATTAGGAAATTAAATAATTGTAGTTAATGAACAAATTTAAAGATTATATTATTAAGTAGAAAATATAAATTATATATAATTAAATTTTTTGTACATTTTGTATATTTTTGGGGCTTAATTATTCTAAAAGAACTGAAAATTTTATGCATGTTTTAATAAATAAAAATTCAGAGAAAGTTCATTATATGAAATCTGAAAGTAAATGAATGTCAGATTTTAAAAAATTGCATGATTAAAAGTATAACAATAGTCCAAGTAATTTTTGTGCATTTTCTTTTGACTACTTTGCTTCTATATTTAATGATTAAAAAGAAAATTATATGAAATTGATGTTATAAATATTACTTAAAAAATAATTACAAATCATAGAAGAGTCAAGAAGCCACTTTAAATTGTTTATAATAAAAATTATAACTTCTGGCTTCATTCTCAGATGCAATCTAAAAATCCTAAGATTAGAATGGGAATGAGAGATTTGATTAAATTAAGTCTAATCCTGATCTAAGTAAAAGAATTCAAAAAATATCAGTGGAACACAAACAAAGATGGTAAATTAGCATCACAGTGGAGTAAGTATAAACTGATTTTAATTTTGTTGTTGTTTTAACTAAAAAACACCAACTAATCAACTAAAAAACACCTTTACATTTTGTGAAAATTAAAATTTTAAGATTTAAATTAAAATTTAGATTAAAATTTTTAAAAATATTTTTACATTGACAAATTAGCAAAGTAATAAGATGATTTTTAAACTTAATGCATATAAAAACTTGATCAGATATGAAAACTATAACTCTACACTAGGAGAAAATAAAAAAAAAAACAATATAAACTAATAACTTTATCAGATTTCCAATTGGATAATAAAATATAATATACACATTCATAAATGTTTAGATTTTTGATTTTTATATCAATATAAGTGTGAAAAATTACAGTTAAAAAAATGTTGAATTTTTCAAGAAAAACATTATCTACTGAAGTTACTTAAACCTAGGTATCAAGGAAACTTCTCTTTCATTGCATTTTGCATTTAATTTGATGGAACAAAGATAATTAAATGGACAAACATTTTAAAATTTGAAATTATAATTAATAAAAATGTTTATTCAAGAGGAAATACTTCAACAAAAACACTTAACTTAAACTGTATTGTTTCAAGAATGTGACTCTAAAAAGTGATGCTGTTTTCCTGGAAATTGGACGAAGATTGCAAGGTATGCCTGAATTAGCTTCAAAAATAAAAGCAATATATCAATGGAATATTTTAAAGAACGGACAAAAAGCTTCTCAATGGAGTATGTATATTTTTCAACATACACTATTAATCTAAGTAGTGAAGAAAATATCATAAAAATGTTTTATATATTCAGTTGTAGATCTAAAAAATGGACAAGGTTCAGTGTACAGGGGAGAAGCAAAAAATGAAAAACCAGGTTGTGTATTGACTTTAGATGATGATGATATTATTTCCTTAGCTTCTGGAAAAATGGATGCACAGAAAGTAAATATTTTTAATAACATTCTAAGAAAAGATAGTTTTATTTTTAAAATTAATATTATACTTAATTCATTATTATATTATTTTAAGGCTTTTATGACAGGAAAATTGAAAATTTCTGGAAATTTATTTCTGGCTGAAAAATTACGTCCACTTCTAAATGGTCGAACCAATAATAATCAAAATAACAAAAATAATAATCCTTCAAATGATGATAATTCAAAGGTTTAGTTAATTTAAATTTTATAAAATTTTAATTTTTATACTTTTTATATTAATCATTGATTTATTATTAAAATATAGAAAAATCCTCAACTGAAAAGTGACCAGATATTTATGGGAATGAGAGATTTGATTAAATCTAATCCTGATCTAAGTAAAAGAATTCAAAAAATATATCAATGGAACATAAACAAAGATGGTAAATTAGCATCACAATGGAGTAAGTATAAACTGATTTTAATTATTTTGTTGTTTTAAATTTTTAAAAAGTGCAGTAATACAAACAAGATTTAAATTTTGGCTATTATTATACAGCATTAGATTTAAAAACTGACAGTGGTGACTTATATAGAGGTGTACCTAAAAGTGGAAAAGCTAATTGTACTCTTATCCTGGAGGATGACTTATTTGCAGATATTTCAAATGGAAAAGTTGATCCTCAAAAGGTAAATTGAAACTTTTAACAATTGTACTCTTTATAAATGTGTAAGTGAATGCAAATCTTATTAATTTTCAATAATTTTTATATAATTATTTATTTATTTTAGGCATTTATGTCAGGAAAATTTAAAATTCAGGGTGAAATTTTAGCAACACAACGATTACAAGACGTATGGAAATCATCTCCTCCAGTTCAAAAGAAACCTGTTCCAACAGAAAAAGTAGAAATAAATAAGTCAGAAAATTCAACTATTGAAGAGGTTGTTGAACTTATTTAATGCAAAATTATAAATTTAAAAAAAGTTTATAAATATAAAATTTAATTATCTTATTATATTTCATTTTGTTATTTAGCCTCCTTCCTATCTGAAAGCAGATATTTTGTTTGGTATCTTTGCTGAACGCTTGCATGAAGAACCAGATTTAGCGAAAAAAATGAAAATGGTTTATCATTGGACCATTTTAAAAGATAAAAAGAAAGCTACAGAATGGAGTAAGAGATTTTATTTAAATTTCACATTTATATTTTCAGAAAAAAATATATTTATTAAAATTTTATGTTTTAGCTATTGATCTTAAGACTGAAAAGGGTGCGATTTATAAAGGACCACCAAAAACCAAACCAGATGTAACTTTAATTGCAGAGGATGAAGATTTAATTATGCTTTTATTAGGAAAATTAAATCCTCAGAGAGTTAGTAATTTTTTTTTTATAATTATAAGCTGGATATTTTTATTTCTCTCTTAGTTATAAATTAAAATAATGTTTTTAAATTATATTATTTTATTGTTTAGCTGATTTTGTAAATATATATATACACATACATACATATAGTATGCAATTTTAGAAATCATCCTTTACTTTTATAATTTACTTATTATACAATTTAAATTTCATTTGAGAAAATTCTCTGTACATTTATTCATAATGTTTTAGAAATTATAATGGATCATTCAGGAAACCAGCAATGTTTTATTTGGGAAATGTTTTCAACTACACTTGAGTCAACTTCAGCCACAAATTATTTGTAAGCTCTTACAACATCCAAAGGAACATCAAATAAAATTGAATCAAACAACTGCATTTAAATTAGATAATTTTAATTTCACAAAAAGTAGATAATCAAAGAATTATTTTTTATGTTTAAATATCAGTGAAATTAATTTATTACAATTTATTTGAATTAAAAACAATATAATTATAATAAGATCAGAATTTCTCTAATATTTAATTAATTTCATAAATATAACATCAAGTACTTGAATTTATCAAGTTAATTTCCATTTATATAACCCAAAATATATCCAGGATCTCTCTCTCTTATACTCCTTATGTTACATTTAGCTGAAATTTTTGATTAAATACATTTTAAACTTGAAAATAATATTGAATAATAATTTTCTTATTGATAAATATATGTATTGTGTGTTTAATAAATAAACAAAAAGGTTTACTTTAAATACAAGCAAATTTATATTTTGATTTCTAAAAGATTTGATTTGTTGCAATAGATTTAAAACATTTTTCCCATTTTCTTTCATATCAAAAACATGAATTTTCAAATTCTATTCCAAATACAGTAGACTCTTGCTAATCTGGCTATTCATTGCATGGACAGGTGCCAGCCAGATTACCAAAAGATTACCTAAAGACAATGAATGATGTGACTTGTTGCCCTTTGGTACCAATTTTTTTTGGAGGAAGGCAGACAAAATAATATGATGCACTGACATGCAATACTGTACTCAAAAACAAAACTCAAGTAAATAGGAAAAGAGGACTATGATATGAGTAGATGTATCACTAACCTTCTCATGGAAATGGAATCATATAAGCAATCACACTGGAGATTATGTTGAATAATTGAGAGACCAGATTAGCAAGAGAATACTGTGATATGTAATACATATTCAAATTACAAATACATGTATGTATGTATTTCATTGCTTTTATTCTAATAAAAATTACCATATGATTACAAAATTACTATTAATTCATAAATTATTGTAAATATTAGAATTATATAAATATAAGAAATATGAAATTACTGTAGTTTAATTTAGTGTAGTATAATCCTTAACTCATATGTTTCAATATTTTTTATGTGTATAGGCATAGTGTTTAATACATTATTTTATTATAAAATTACTTACTCTAATCTAACAATGTAGGTTAGAGAAATTCTGATTAAAAACAAAACTTGACTAATTATAAATTTTTAAATTTAAGGCTTTTATGACTGGAAGATTGAGAATTAAAGGAAATATTATGCTAACACAAAAATTGCATCAATTATGGCAAGAAATTCTGAAGAGTAAAAAGGCTGCAGAATTGCCAGTCCTTGCATCCATCTTTGCAGACAAGGTGACTATTTTTCTTTGATTTTACTTTCTGCATATCCAAGACAATGTTAATGGCTATCAAATTACTATTTCAGCCTCTTGATACAAGTTTAAAAAGTGAGGGCTACATAGTATCATTTGCCAAAAAGATATCAAAAATGACTAATTTACAAACCAGAATTGGATCAATTTTTGAATTAAATATTACTAAAAATAAACAACCAGTTAAACAGTGGAGTGAGTTTTTTTTTATATTGTACATTAAATTTCTTGTGTGTATAGTGTGAACATCTATGTGCAAATTTTTTTCAGCTCTTGATTTAAAAAGTAGTCAGCTTGATTTATATCGCGGAAAACCAAAAAGTGGCAAATCAAACAGTACAATTACTTTGGAAGACAATACATTTGCAGAATGGGTAACAGAAAAGTTACCAGGACAAACAGTAAGCTTCGTTTTTCTTTTTTATAAGTAATTTAGATTATGTATTGTAATATATGTAATTTTTTCCCCCTAGATTATCCAGAATAACTTAGTTGGAATATCTGGAGATAAAGCTGCAGCAGAAAAATTATTGAATATTTTTTCAGCAAAATCAAAGTTATAAAATTCAAATTATTTTAAAAATGATCAGGGAAAGGATGACCTCTAATCTTCAGTCTTCTGTATTTGTAAGAGAGAATGCAATCAAAACAGATGGCTGCTCTATTAAATAACAAGTTAATTAATCTATATTTTAAATGCAGGTTTATATTTTAATTTATTAATTTATAAAAATGATCATATTTGATCATTTTTATAAATTAATAAATTATATATATATATATATATATATGTATGATTATTTTTTATGCTTAATTTTTATTTTATTATGATGGTAATTAAAAACAACAAAAATATAGTCTTAGTAAATGTAACATGGAGTTTGAGATAGTTACTTAATTTTTATCTCAATTTTAAAAAGATTAAAATTTATAGATTTAGTCAATCATTTTTATACATGACTATAAACAATTATTTTTTTATATACCGTGTGAATGATACGAAGTACAATATCTTTTATACAATATTTGTATTTGAAAAATTTGACTCTTGTATTTATCCTTTGATAAGGAAAAGTCTTATAATACCTCCTACTGTACAAACTATTAAACTGTTATGTATCATATAGATTCAGATAAGGTATTAAATGTTTAATAATTAATATATATAATAAAAATTTGTCTATTATTTAATTTGTCAATTTAGTTGAAAAATATTATTGAAATTTCACTATGGTTCATTTATATCTGTTTTGTTTACTTTGTGTTATATTAAGTATACAAATAATGTTACCATTGGTGTGCTGTCCATGGAAGCTGTGGAAGCAACGTAAAATTTAAATACATATTGTGCAATTATTTTCATATTTTAACATACAGTAATACCTCGACTTACGCGAACCCGGAGTTATGCAATTTTCAAATCTTGTCGATTCGTCTTTTGTTTGAGCACCACGCAACTCTTGATTACTCATTCCCTCCACACTATTGTTCAACTTACATGTTCGGATGTGTCATGTGGAATTGACACATAGCTACAATTTATTTTGTGTTATTTATTTCTGTGTTTGTTATATCTACGGAGACTTGAGAGACTCTATGTGGTGATTTCTTGCACCGTGAACGAATCAAAAGACGAGATAAGATTAATAAGAACATTTATTAGCTTACACACATCCGACTTGGATTTTACACAAATTGCGAAATTATACCCCGACTTACGCAAATTCGACTTACGTGGTTATCACTCTGTCCCACCTATCGCGTTAAGTTTGGGGTATTACTGTACTTTGAATTAATTAAAATTAATATTTTTTTGATTCACTAACACAAAATGTGTTTCTATTTCAACACTTGGTAATATCTTATTTAAAGTATAGATAATACTTCAAGAAAAAAAATAAGATTTTAAATTTCATTGACAAATAAGCATTAAAGTGGTTGCGGCCGAAGTTTTCATCTCTCAAACGTGAACGTTGAATGTCGAGCGCCACTATCTTTCACCAAGTGTTGAAATAGAAACACATTTTGTGTTAGTGAATCAAAGAAATAAGACAACACGGTTTCAGAAGATTTAAAATTAATATTTCATTATAACTGCATTATGTATCTTATTTCTATACTAAATGTGAAAAAAATGATAAGATTGCTATTGTATATTCGAATATAAATTTGTATATGCCCAGGGTGGCCAAGCTCCTTGATAGTCCGAGCCATTTTCCAAAATTTGAAATTTTTCGCGAGCCGCAATTAAATACGTATTAAAAAGGTATGCAAAAATTCCAGATTAGGAATTATATCCGTAGCAAGAGTGATGCAAATTGTTTCCTCCAGAGCACAATGTCAACTATCCGTTGCAATGACAGTTTACAAATTCAAAATCGGTCTGAGTCGGTCAATAATGGACGATTACGCCACTGTTTATGTTCGTTCGCGCAGTTTTCGATGAGTCATATCATTCTTAACTTGGACGGAAATAAAATTTGTTACAACGTTGCACTTAGTCTTTCATATTTGTTGTTAGTAATTTAAAAGACATTTTGAAACACATACGGAACGATGATAATTTTTTAAAATATAATAACACAAAAATGGAAAGGGAACTCGGGTACATTTATCGAGAGCCACAAATAATCCTTCAAAGAGCCGCATGTGGCTCGCGAGCCGCAGGTTGGCCACCCCTGGTATATGCATATTCCCAATGAAAGCACTGTATTGTTGAATATGGGACAGGACTGTATATGTTGAATATTTTCCATGGCAAAAATATTTGAATCGTGTAAAGCAGCCAGATTAAAGGTATTCACACATGCACTTTACAGAGCACCAACCTCACATGGTTTAGCTAATGGATGCTACACACCAAAATATTGTATAATGCTTCCAATGATTCTTTCCAGGGTCGGCACAGCTTCCCTATCAAATGTCACTGCATGCCACTGAATGGCCACTGAATGCTATCATAAATTAGAACATCCAGAATTAGATCAATTATTCAGAATAATAGTTATAACTACAGTTATTTTCGTGAATAATATAAACAACCAATTGAATTTCTCTTCTCGGTTCTCTCTACTGCCAGACAATTGAGGCAGTAAAGGCTTTGACTTGCTGCTGTAGGAGATCCACTTCAAAGCAGTTGGCCTTTCCATGGGTGGGCTTAGCCAGATATTCTGGGACCCATACCTTATCTGACTACCTTCATTGCGCACCCAGCCAAAATGATGGATTTGCAAAAACTGGTTCTTCTAGTGGTCACTGGAGTAAAACAATTTCATTCAACTATAATTACATCTAGTTTAGTTTAAAATATTTTTAACATTGAATAGTTCAAAACACTGTTTATTATTAGGATATATTTAATTATATATAATTCATTGCTTGATGTTTCATTAGTCCTTTTTGAAATGATGTTATTTCATTTTGAATTTAAGAGGAACCAATAACATGGTTTTCTCATGGAGCCTTGAGTTTTTGGAACAGAAAGATCATTGTCATTGTTTGAGCTGAAAAGTTATATGCTAGCATGTCTCAAAGGGGCCATTTGGTAAATTCTCTACTTTGGTAAAAATCCAGTCAAATTGATTGGATTGTTTTGAGCAGGTGAGCCAAAATTTCCTTGTACAATAGATCATTGGTAGTCTGTCCTTGGAAATAAATTTTTATCAGTGTTTTAGATTGGCCACTCCTTTGGTCATCATCCAACAACTGTTGACTGTCATAAAAAACATATTGCCCTACACAGTCAACTGAGATAAACATTCATTTCCATGAGTTTTTTTCATTAATTCAAAGGTTTCTGATGCAGTTTTTTCACATTTGAAATAGAATTTAATTGCAATTTAGTGTATTTTTCATGCAACAACAAGGTCAAAGTCTGCATGAAGTAAAATGCACTGCTCATCACAAACTACTTGAGACTGAATAAGAAAGTAATGGTCACTTACCAAGAATGTGTATCAACTAATTCATGTGTTGTCCAACAGATAGCATAATTAGAAATTCCTAAAAAAAGATGTTCCAAGAATTTTCTGGACAAATTGTAAGGTATCAAAAGTTATGGCATATTAATTTTACTTCTAAATAATGGTACTGTAAAGAAAATGCCACATTTCTGTATAATTTATACATCTTTTTACTTTTATACAAAATCTTCATTCTGATTAATGCAGATACTAACAATAGCAATTGTTACGAATGTTTGAAAATCGTTGTGACCTTTCACATAATGAACTTAAATTACTAAAGTTTTTGTAAATCTTATTTCATGATTTTTTACAAAACCATAAGAAAATAAATATGAAGTGATATGGACTGTATAGGGGATGATTTCAATTTCTGATCATCCAACAACAATCAAGGAACTCGATGGAAACAACTTTTGATATTCTCATCTCTTGCACTACAATTTCTCTAATTGCTACATGTTGATTCTATCTGTTGATTTCATTAGTAGCACTACATATGCAACCACTATGGGTTTGATGTGTGAAGATTGTTTAGCCATCTTTGTTTAACTCATCATTTAACACTACAAACACACAAAATCTCTATACGCATTTTAGTATTTGGTTGAATATCAACTATGGCTATTTTCTCATTAGTGAGGAGTGTTGCCACATGCTCTCGAAATGACACGATGCTGCCTTCCATTTTCTCATGGCACACTGTTACAAAATACCTGATGCAAGTGACATAATTTCATATAGTTGAAAAAAAAAATTAAAGATAATATTCTACAAAGGCCTGAAAAAACTGAAAATGCAACACCTGAAATGTAGTTTTCATTACAAATTTAATACAAAGCTCTCAAATTCTATTTTCATTTCAATAAATAAATAGATTAAAAATATACACCATTGGTCAAAAAGATAAAAAACTGAAATAATTCTTTCTGTTTTGATCTTTAATACATTTATATTTTTGTAATAAAAAAAAAAAATTATGACAACACTAAAATTTATAGATATCATTAAATTGATAAAACAAAACTAATAAATGCATTCTGTAACTTATCATTTTAAAAATTGATATGAAACAAAGTGTATTGAGCCTCTTTTAAGAGGCTCAATACACTTTGTTTTTGCACTTCTTTATTTAAAGTTTGAGTTATTAACATTTAAAGAAATTGTTTCTGATGACAATTTGACAAGAAGAATGTTTAATGGAAGATATTATTTTAGTAAATATAAATAATGTATGTACAAGAGTAATATTTAATTGAAGCGACTCTTTCTCCCTTGCATCTTTTCCCACACTGAACAAGAAGTTCCCATTTGTTTGTAAAAGAAGGCATTATTGGCACATTTAACTCCACTCTCAATGTAGCAAAGATGATGTCAACAAAAACAGATGTTTCATTTTTTTGGAATAGGTCCAAATAGGGAAATGCCAAACAAAGGACAACATTTTTTGTTTGGCATTTTCCATATAGGGAGAACCACCTTCTGCCATTGGTGGAAGAGTGTCCTTCCCGCTTGAAGGAGGAAAAGCTCTCTCTTTATCAACCATGGAAGAAAAATGCACTGCACACTTCATCTTCTTAGCTCTCCACTGGCATCAAAACTGCCAGGTCTTCCCCTTCATTCTGTAAAGAAACAATGAATATATATAAATGGAATTAGAGTACTGTATATTTAACACACACACACAAAATTAAATATTATACTCATGACGTATTAGAATTTAAATAGTGTTTGGTAGAACTTATTTTATGTTTGAACTCCATTCACAACAGCAATAACAAAAGACACAGACTGACCCAGAACAGGGCCCACTAGTGGTCGAGTGGATAAAACTGCCAAACACCAGCAGTTGGTCGTGCCTTGCCAATGGACTGGTCATGTGGAGTTTTCAGAGTTTTCTTCACATTTGTAACACCTAAATAGGGGCCAGTTTCCAATAAAAGACCTCCTGGGAGGCATTCCCCCTTGGCAGATTGCCCACGTATCACATTGCTGTAATCAAATAAAACCAAACCAATTCAGAACACTGATATGCAGAGAATTCCGTAGCTTCCTAGTTTTAGAAGCACTGCTGCGAGGATTATGGAGCCGGCTGTGAAGTTCCGTTATAGGGCAACGTATTATTGCGAACAGGAAACAAATAAAACGAGTAATAATACTAAAGATTTTTTATTCACAAACACAGGTTCTTTAAAATGATTCCAACTTACAGCCTATTGGGTTCGATATACATAAGATAATTGTCTACACTAACAATTCTCTGTGGTGGCAACCGACACGTGACAACGGAAACAAAACACGTGGGGGCGACTTATAACTAAAACTTAACCTATTTACAAACTAAGGAAGGAGAAATAAAATATAGATAAGAATAGGAGTAGAATAAAAGGGAAAATACCCGGGATTTTTCTCTACCACGTGGTCTCGGATGATTCACCGTCTTGAATCTTTGAATGGCTCCAGACCTTAATTTCTTTCCTTTTATGAACGTCTACGTTTTCTGGGTTGTCTTATGGTCTTCCTGCTTGTTGTTACTTGAATCTGGGGAAACTCGATTTCTTAGCAATGGTCCTACGTTACTCTACAATTCAGCCGTCTCTTACAAGGTTCCGACACCTCTGATCTCTCTCTAGGCGATCAAGGTATGATCCTCCTTCGGCCTTCTTTCGCAAGGTTTTTCTCACTCCTTGCTCGACTTCTCGGTCAGGACCGCACTCGTTTCTCCATCCTCTCTCGACGAAGTCCCAGCTTCTCCTTTTCTTCACTTCCTTTTTTCCTAGGGGCTTGTTCCTTTTTCTCTTGACATTGTTTCACAGAATCGGTGATGTCACCCGAGGGTATAGGGATTAAGGGAGAAAGTTCTAGAACAGATAAGACAAAAGAACAAAGGAAATACTGAGCCTAGCTAAAGTTAACAAAAATATATATATATATATAAACTATGGCCGACGGCCACACGGCTAAGGAAGGAAACTCTTATGTGTAATTCATACTTGAAACCTATGAGATATCACAGAAAAGTAACAAAACACTGCACACAGTGCAATAAATGGCAACATGTAGCCAGTGGTGATATTCGAAATATTTAACAAAGGGTTCGTTAACATTTTAAGAAAATTTTTCCTTAATTTTTTTTCTCAAATGGTGCATTAGCAACATTAGCGCAAAAACTGACCTTAAGATACCCATATAAATAAAAAAGATGCATTAGCAAAATTAAGTCAGTTAAAATTTAACATTGTTTATGCCAGAACTATATTTTTTTGATAAATAATAAAAAAAAGTGTTCAAAATGGTTTATTTTGTACATATTTTAATATTTTTCATTAAAAATATTTTATAAACATAAAAATAGGCTTTTTCTCAAGAAAAAACTTTTCTAAATTATTTATTTTATCATTAGGTATTATTATAATAATAGACAGATGTCATCGTCTCTCGAAATACAATATCTTTTTTTATTTTGCTGTCGATAGCCTGACACGTGTTCCGCAGCCATCTTGTATTTTCTCGCGCGCGTGGGATTGCGGGATCTCTCGTATGACTGGACTTAGTTTCAAGAACTCTCTTGAGTCGATCGCGATTGAACCTCGTTTCAGTCGAGATTGAAATGGTCAATGGAGGTTGCACCAAGGCGAACGGGGTATAAGGCTCTAGTTTAGTAGTGTTACAGAGTATAATACTGTACGTATATTTTAATATATTTTTTAAAAGAAACAAAACTACTGAGAAATGTTACGTGTGTTTAACAACGGGTTCGGAAAACTTTGAAAATGTTAACAACGGGTTCGGCCGAACCTGTGCGAACCCGCTGAATATCAGCACTGCATGTAGCCATGTCACCGACACATCCAAAAGAGCAATCTTGATTTTCAGTGCAAGTTGTAACACAGTGGTAGAATGTTTTGTTCTAGAACAATTTACTCTAATGTATGTACAGTACTGTACAAGTACTCTATTACGTAAATGGAACAATGGCATTTAGAGTTTTGTGCAAACAAATTCTGTATGACAATCAATAAATACCTGTTAACATTTTTCAAAAAAGAAATTTAGTACACAGGTAACCTCTGTATAACACGGGAGTTGCGTTCCAAAAAATTGCCATGTTATGCGAAACAAATAACTAGTGCAAAAAGGGGGGTTAGGTCCAAAAAGTAAAAAACATGATGTTAAATCTTTATTTAAATCGGATTTATTATTCATTTTTTTCATAGGTAAAAAAATTATTTATTATTTAAGTAAATACTTTACCAGAGGATTATCCATCCTATATGATGATCTCAGCATGAGCATCATCAACTGGTAACAGTTTTTGGGTGCGTTCGTTAATAGTGGTCGTCTCTGCAACGGGAGCGCGCTGCTGTTTGTAGGCATTTAGGAACGATGGTGAAAGATGGCGGCGCCTGCACTATCGATAGTATCGTGATGGAGGAATCTATAATTCTAAAATGAGCTTTTAGAGGCAAAAGAAGGGTCCCAATTGTAAAATTTAACCATTAAATGGATTATTTGTTGAAAGAGTATTCAAAGTAGCCACGAAAACAATTAGAATGCTCGCGCGGAGTTACAAAAGAACGCACCCTTTATTACATTTTATGTTGTACGAGGGTTTTACCCAATTCCCGAACCGTGTTAGAGTGAATCCGTGCTATAAAAGTGCCATGTTATACGGGAGTTACCTGTATTATAAAATTCATCATCCTAAACTTCAGCCTGTGATGATGAAGGGTGACCAAGCAGTTAAGGTGTCAGCCCACTGCTGTGGGGAACCCAGAATTGAATCAGATGAGTTGAAAAAGCCCCATGAATTTTTCAGATGGTGGTGCATATGGATACGTCTGGCCCTGTTCCTCATTACCCAGCCATCCCATTGTGGGCCTGGCCAAACCCATAACAAGCTTGCTAAAACAGACCATTCTTAGTGCCCACAGGATGGAAAGCATTTTTTAAAAAATTGCCATTATAACAATTTTTCATAGATTACTAAACATAGAAAAAGCAATAAGAATTAAAAGTACTGTCAGACTTAGTGTCCAAAAAATCTCTATCTTGCCTTTCAGTAATAATACAATTGGAAATTTTAACTAATACTTATTTAAAAACAAATTAAATAGCCAAAACTGTAATTTTAAAACAAGCATAGAAGAATCAGCTAATGTTTTTTCATGATTATTCTAAGGAGAGACTATTCTGAAAAGAAAGCGCATGCAAAGTTGCCATAAGCTACTTAATTACAGCAATCAAACGACTATACGATATTGAGGAAATCTATGGGATATGGATCAATTGGGAGCTCCAAACTCATTGCTCTCCATGAACAGCTCTGTAGAAAATCCATATCCAAAATATAAAAAACTTGGCTAACTCAATTATGCTTACTAGAATTAGTTTGCATTTTTTGATATAACATTTTTAACAAAAACAACATACAACATCCTATTTTGCCAAGGAAAATGTTTAATAATCACAAACATTTTTGGCTCGTTCTAAATGCCATCCTCAAGCTTTATATTACATTCTATTGTTAGAACATAACATTCTAATGGAATTTCAAATATAATAAAATTTAAATGTGAATAAAAGAACACAAAACGATTTTTAAAAAGATGAGCATTACAAAATCAAATTAATAATATATATTTTATGTTTCAACTTTTATTAACACATTTGTTGGATTACAGAGACGTATTACATAGAGATCTAATACAGTATACAGCAATCCAGTTATATAGTAAACAAAATGGAAGTTTTGGTTAGAAATAAATACAGTACTTTTTCTTGCCATATATCTAATAATAGACAGATGTCATCGTCTCTGCAGTTGTCTTTTTTATTTCTCTGTCGATAGCCCGACACGAGTCCCGCAGCCATCTTGTATTTTCTCGCGCGCGTGGGATTGTGGGATCTCTTATGACTGGATCTAGTTTCAAGAACTCTCTTGAGTCGATCGCGATTGAACCTCGTTTTAGTCTAGATTGAAACGGTCGAGAGAGGTCGCAACACGGCATAGTCGCCGTCCTTGGTCGCAATCTAGATCGAAATGCTCGGTGCGAACCAAGGTCTTAGGTGCGAACGGGGTATAACACATATTAGCATCGATAGGAGTATAATTCTTTTGCGGATAAATGTGATTCTGGTTAGAGGGCGCTTCGTCGGTGTTTCATATGGTTGATCTGTCAGTGTCGTGGTATGGAATGTTGACTGGCAATTCTGTTTCATTTAAAAAATAATACGTTTGTTTAATCATGGCTCCGGGAATGATTAAAAAACCTTATCCAGAAAGTACTGAGGTAAGGGTATCAATTATTTTCGAAGAAATTTCAAGTAACATTTTATTTAATGTTAAACTTGGTTTAAATCTATGTAATTAATATATTCACAGCCAATTCAAGCTTCAGCTGTGATTGTAATTCATCCAGGATCATTATTTCTACGTTTGGGTCGAGCTTCGGATACTTACCCTCATATCTTACCTCATGTCATTGCTAGACGAGGGAGACGTGGCAACTATGAAGATTCTTTCTTGGTACCTGTGATAAAAATGGTAAATTTTTAAAAAATATTCTGTTAATCTTAATAATTTGACACTCCATAATTATTTCCACTTGTAATAATCTTTAATTGCGATATAATATAAGAAGGTATCTGTATTACATTGTCACATTATCCTAAGGGTAAAAAGGGCAGTTGCCTGGGGCCCTCACCAAGTGCCCCAAACCAATCTTTTATAAACTCATCACTGTAATAAAAATATTAAAATTTAAATTTGACAACTTACTCAATCGCATTAAAAAATGAATGAGAAACTGGGAAATTTCCCTCGAAAAGTTCTCCAAAGAAAATGTTTAAAGTTGACACAGTTTCCACATACAGTGGAGCGCCCTAAATTGAATTTGCCTGGGCCCCGAGAAGCTATAACATACCACTACTGTATTGTATTTAATTTGCATTTAATAGTAATCCAGTCATGTAGCATCAAGCAATTAAAAGTATAAATCAAATAAATATATCTTAATATTTTTGAGGAAATTGGCCATTATCTTTACAACACAGATAAAAATTAAATTGACTCTGAAAACAGAAAATAATAAACAGATTAAGCTGTAAAGTAATCAGAGGAGTTGCTATTCTGAAGAGCTTTTTGAATATCTTCTCTATTGTAATTGTCAAAGCTTGATTAAAAGATACCCAAAATTGTCCCAGAAACATATTTATTGTTCTGCATTTCTCTGATCCAGAAACACTGGCATGTGTGATGTGTGCCTAGAACTTTGTCACTCATACCCATGAGTTGAGAAGAAAATATCAGATGGTCACAGATCAGTTGCAATCAAACAGTGACAAGTTTGCACTTGCATTTATTGCTCTATTACATAATTTTTTTTTTTGTTCTGCTTCAGTCTGTATAGAGCTGTTAAATGTTGGCATTCTTATACAAATGCAAATTTTTGCAATAAATTGTCTAAATAAATAGCTGTATTATAACTATAATTTTAACAACCAGTTCACCAAACTAAAAATATTTTAAGTTGTTTTGATAAACACATACAAACTGGCTGAATCCCACCACTTGTTATAATGTTATAAATCATTTGTTAATAAATATATAAATGTACTGAAATGAAATATTTGATTATATTTAATATGTTATGGAATAAAGTTTATATTATTGAATTGTTGAGGATAACAAAGGTTCATATTTCTTTTTAGGATCCTGAAACAACGGCATCCATGGTTGAAACACAAAATGTAATTACAAATTTACTAGCTTCTTGTCTGACATCAGAAGGAAGAGTTCGTTATGCAATATCATCTGCAAAGGTTATTTAATGCTACTTAGAAATAATGCGTAATAATTCTTATTTTATGCTTCATAAATGTAAATATTTTATTTGTATCGTGTGTAATTAGATAAGAGAAGCAAACAATGAGGTCAAACCAGAAATCTTGCATGGAAGTTGTGATCTTCATTGGACAAAAGTTGATCCTTCACAGGAGTATGTTGTTGGAGAAGATGTGAGTATAATTATCATAAAATGTCATAACTGGTTTAAAGATATGTAAGTTATGTATGTTGCCTTAGACAAATTCGTGCTTAACCTTTATATTTATTGCATTTAATTATTTAGGAAGAATAGATACAGGATTTTAGGTGGTATTTTTTTGTATTAATATTTTAGTTTTTATTTTACTAGTAAAAAAAATATATGATTGATAAGACATATTTTATTAAGAAAAAATATATATACAGGATTCATTTTTTCAAAAATCATTTACTTACTTTATGTTCCCATATACAGTCAATTCCATTTAATTGGATCACTGGTTAATTAGGGCAGCTGTTTAATTGGGCCAAATCTCAAAGAACGGAAACCAAAGTAATAAATTAATACATGATTTAAATGCTTAATTGGGACAATAGAAGAAAATGAATTTAGCAATTTTGATATATTTTAGGGATCTTCCGAAAATACCAGGGCTGTGGAGTCGGAGTTGTGGAGTTTTGGTGTTTTAGCCGGAGTTGGAGTTGTCAAAAAATTCACCAACTTTTTACTTACCAACCTGTTATGTATATAAAATGGAAAAGTATTGGAATTGTGTCAAATTTGATCCTCCAAGTTTTTTTGCAAATCTACACATTTGAAGACCTCCCAAACCCCTCAAAAAAGTCAATAAAGGGGAAAAATTCGCATGTGCGTGTGTATTGGTGTCTAATTTGTTTAATTTCTTTATTTTCTGTTCTGAGATATTAAACAATATCTAAGAATGGGTAAAGTTTAAGAAACAAAATGTGGCACTGTAGTTTGCATATAAATTTTGGTTCTTAATTAAAGGTCGACAGGGTGAAGACATAAAAGTGGTCATGTGTCATATCTCTTAATGAATATTTTACTTGTTATTAGCGTTCAAAATTTAAAAAAATAAAATAAAACTCATCTCTACCCTCAAAGTAAGCTTTTTTGCCATTTTATAATAGTACAGTAAAACCCATTAAGATGTTCTCGCCTAAGATGTTAGAATGTATATGGGGACATGATTTAGTTCAACCACTTTGACACTTAATAACTAACTCCTGTGTTAAACCATCGGACTCTATTTATGATCACTTTGACCACAGAAATTATTAGGCTTCAAACAGGGTGAACAAAATCATGCCCCCCACACATAGTCTAACATCCACATGTGATATTCTACCCCCCATTTTTTTGTATTGTTTAAAACAGTATCATTCTCCTCCTAACTGTAGTAATTCTACAGAAAATGGGGATAGTTTACAATCAATGATCTAAACTCTCTCCTTGGGTTAAATGTCACAGTCTATACCAATAAATTCGATCAGTGATAAATCAACAAGGCAAGAACAGACCTCTAAAAGAAACTAATAAGCAGTGTTTCTCACCCCTCCTTTAGCTGCACATGGCACATGTCTGTGGACAGCTACACTATAACCAAAACAACATGATAATAATTGCCTCTCTTGTCGACTAATACGATATTTAATATAAACAATCTAGAGATTGTTGTCAAATCTGAGAAGATATTGACAACAATCTCTAGATTGTTGACAATATCTTCTCAGATGTCAAAATATACAATAATTAATGGGAGAGAACTGTCAAATTCGTAGGAATTTATATCATAAAATTTCACCTTCAGTTGACCAATGTCAACAATTCGATCAAAGAATACATCAGCGACGGTCCATACTAGCTAGATCCAGACATCAACACACTAACGTATAAATCATTAATAGTATGACAGTTCTCACCCCCTCAAATTTGGTATAAAGAGGGCTCACGACCCGTTATTGGGGTGGCCTTCAAGACATCAGAGAACGACTGGTCAACTTCCATCCTGCACCTGACCACCGAAGACGAATGATTAGCAAAGTAATTTGTAACTCAGTAAGTAGAACTCTCTCTTTCCTCTCAGATGGATTAGGACTAGTTAAGGATAAATACTAACAGGGATTAGAGCCTTTCCTTTGTCGAAAGTACATGCGGCGTAACCCTGCTAACCGCCTTATAGAACTTCAGTTTAGAAGTATTATTATTATTCTTATTATTTGTAACCGTTAGAATAGTATTTTTATTAAATTTGTATAATATCTTAAATATGTGTGTTTACTCATACACGGCCAACACCATATTGACTTATCTGCGACCTCCCACATGATTTTTGCCCTCCTAAATTGCCATCCATTGACCCCATGAGCGGGACTCACCTTTCCGTTGTCAGAAAAACGGTTTAAGTGGGGTTTAAGCATTGAAGCTTAAACCCCGCTTAAACCGTTTTTCTGATTCTCACACACACACATATAGAAAAAACCTAGAATCTTTTACATATCTTGAAATTTCAAGGTGTCCCGAATCTAAAAATGTAAAAATTTGGGAGGGGTCATCTTTTGACCAAGCACTACACTTTTCTTCTGTTATATATAACAGCCAGAAAAGTAAAAATTATCGAATACATATTTATATATTACTTAGAGAAGTCTTTTGGCTTTGGAATTTAATTTAATTTAATTTCATGAAGGGGATGAAGACTTGGGACTACTCATTGGTATTGCCCAAGTGTGAAGATTAGAGGAAAGGTAATTAAGGGAAAAGGCGAAGGGAAAAAAGTAAAGCAAGATAGGAAAGGGGATGAAAAGGGAAAGTTTCATGGGCACCCAGCCTGTTTTATTAAGAATCAAATGAAACATACAGATATGGCTCCTGGCCATCAGATACAGACAATAATTGCAATATTTACAGTATGTACAATTGAAGACAGTTTGATTACACGTAGTTTGAAAACAATTTTAACCGAAAATACAGAAGAACATAAATCAAATCAATATTTTGAACAAATACAGTTCTTGCCTGTCAGAATACAGACAATAAATAAACTTTTAACAAAATTTTTTAAGGAAAAATGATTACACATAGAATGATCAAATTTACTAATCGAAAATACAATAGTAATTACACAACATTAATTAATGTATTAATCAAATATGGCTCCTCGCCATCAAAATACATAAATTATACATTGATGAAATCTGAATCTTACAGTTATCACCGAAAATAAAGTATTACAATAAATTAACTTAAACTACATATCAAAAAGATTATAACAAATATGGCTTTTCGCTGTCTAGTACATAATAATTATAAACAAATCTTATAAACAAAGGTAAAATATTGTAGAAGCAGCTGAACCATGTAGATCAATACAGGGTGTAGAGACAAGAACACTAATGTGTTCTTTTAAAGTTCGTCTCAAGTGCTTTAGTTTACTTAATAAAAGTTTGAAGTTCATAAAAGAGTTTAGCTTTGGAATAAAAAGTTTCTATGCTCTATTTTTATTAGAACTCTATTGAATCTTTTTTCTGAGGTCACGTGATGACATCAGAATTTCTGAGTCTCTTTCGGTAACAAGTCCGCCTCTGGTCAGAGTTGGATGGTAAGGAAGAGTCGGAGTTGGAGTCAGTAGATTTTTACGTGACTCTACAGCCCTAGAAAATACTGTGTATTAGCAGTACGTACACTAATGTTGTTTGGGCATAACGGTTAGCAAAGATAAAGTGATTTTGTCTTTTGTTTGAGCAATTTTGTTTTTCTGGAGGGGAGTTAGCATAGAGCAGACATGGGTAAAATGTGGCTCTTTTTGAGTTACATGCAGCTCTTGCTGAAAGTGTTAATTTCTGCTTTTTATTATTGTTTTTACAATTTTATTTCTATAATTTTGTGAAAATATGTTTATTAAAAAAATTCAATATTTGTTTTATATTATATAATAAAATTGAGGTACAGAACTGTGGTACAGAATAAGAAAACAGAACTGCAGCTCCCATGCATTTTGCAAAACCTACATTTCGGCTCCCACTGAACTCTTGCTTGCCCACCCCTGGCTTATATCAATACTTTCTGTCAGAACATAAAACAAATATAACCAAAATTTCATCTGGTTTGGACAAAAATTGCAGGAGTTACAAGGAATTCACATACACATAGATGACAGCTTTTCATGTTTATTATGTAATTATTCTTGTGTCATAATTTGTTATATATATTTATTTTAAATCTGGAGAAATCTGAAAATTTTAGGACTTTGCAACACTAGTTAAACCTTATGCTTGATAACACATTTACTTCATGTACGGGAAAAGATCAATGTTGCCATGCCCTTAACAAGCTTTTCCCCATATCAACCACATTTTCCCACCAGATTAGGTCAATGTCCCCCAAGATTTTCACAATGATCAAAATTCTCCATTTTCTAACATTATAACATTACTCTCTATTACAGTCTTATGGGACTATGATCATACAGTATATGTGGTAGATGTTATGTGGCACATGACTATATTGGTATTTGACAATATGAAATTAAATCATTATTTGCAGATAAATTTTTTTATTCAAAAGATATAAATCATTTTTAAATATTCTGTATTTTGGATTCAGATATAAAGTTCTCATAAACAAATAAATCTTCAAACAATAATCAAAGTTTTAATGATGGTATCTATTGATTTGAGCCAATCATACTATATTATCTGTTCTGAATAAATAGTTTACTTCATACTGTATAAAATAAAATTCAATAGATTTTAGACGAATGCTATGAATGAATGAATAATATTTTATATCCCTTGGCAGAAGTTAAATTATATTTTATTGAAAAATTGTTTATTTTGGCAAGAAATTAACAATTTTTGGAACTTATATATCAAAAATCAAAAATAATTTATAAATTGTACTTGAAATATTATTTTTAAGTTTTTGTTTACTGTTTAAATTTATTTTTTTAAACACATTGAATTAAAAATTATGATTTGTTTTTAAACAAGAAATGTTTAGAACTGAAGAAATAATTAAAATATTTATTTTTATATAATAAAAATATTTATTAATATATTAATATGTTACAAAATACTACTGAAATATTTTATATAACATAATTTAATGAGATATTTATTAATATCAATAGAAATTTTAAATTTTTAAGTTAAATTAAATAACTTAAGTTTAGTTCATTTTTCAGATCTTAACATTTTTATATCCTTTTAATAATAAGGAAATATATTAGAAAAGAAAATAAACCCTTGAGAAAAATCGTTACTTTCAAGTAATAATCTAAATAATTTTATAGTTAATTTTCTGTAATTGGAATACACTGTGGTCCTTGCCATGATCCATGAGCATCACAAACTGCATAAAACTTTTTTCTGTAAAATAATAACATACATCAGAATGAATATTATACCGTAATACAAATAATTTATTAACAAAATTTAAATCTAAATCAATTTCACTAGAAGTCTAGTTTATAAATTGACATTCTTCCAATACTTCTGGACGGCAAGTGGTCAATTAAAATTTATATATTCTTCTGATTTATTATTTTATTACATTTAAAGCAATATTTAAAATCATAGGAAAGGACAAATTTTATGAACATTTTGACATTAGAATAAGTAACATATATGGCAACATACTATTTGTTTATATGTTAGTAGACAAAATGCAGAAGAGATAAATTATCTTTGGGTTTTAGTGTTAATTGATATTAAAAACTACATAGATATTTTGTCCAATCAGGTGTCAAATGTTTTTGTTTGACAAAGAAATATTAATTTGTAATGATAATTTAAAGGAATTTTGTGAAAAATTTTTTTTAAATATCTCTTCATGTGCCATATAAGGTCATCCTGACATCAGTGATCACCCTGCACAAGTTAATTGGAGATTAGTTTTGCACCAAGGTGAGTCCTGGGGAAAGTTAGTACCAAATTGGTTCCCTCGTTGCCTTCTCTGGTGAGTCGATGTTACACAAGGAGAGAAATGTTTTCTGGGAGGTCTTTTTTAGGGTAACTGGTCCCTATTCAGGCATTACAGATATGGAGAAAACCCAGAAAACTCCACATGTCCAGCCCATCCTGGCACGGCATGAATCCGTGACCAAACTCTCAGTGTTCAGGGACAGCACCACTTGGCCACTGGTGGGTCTTTTTGAATATAACATATGCAAAATATAAAATTTGATTCTTGAAATATAAAATGTTTGATTCTTATAAAATTATTGTGGAATCAGTTAAAATTATAACAGTATTTTGGTGTAGTTTTATAAAGTATCAGCAATGCAGTCAATAAATACACTGAAATTTGTTTACAATTGATAAATATATTTTCTATACATTAGTAATTTATAATTAATCTTAACTTACTTCTTTGGTTGGCCAATTATTTGATATCCTGATTTACATTGGAAATAGCATCTATGTCCGGTTTGAAAACTGTACATTTGACATTGTGTTTTTGAATAAATTATAGAAGGAAGTAATTGAAGAGGAGGACATAATATTTGACATGGTGTATCTGGTATGGACCAAAATCCATCTTCCTCACAAGTAATAGTATTTGCTGTAATATCACCTGTAAATAATCTTATTACAATTTAATCAAAATTGTTAAAAAATGCACTTACAACTGTTTTTACCTTTTAACCGAGCAGGCGACTTGCACTTAAAATTACACGTTTTTCCTAAAGTTGTTCCTTCTGGACAAATGGTGAAAGCATGCATTATTGTGGGTGGACCACAATCTATTGGTTTACAAAGAATTTCTGGCCCAATCCATTTACCATCTATACAGGTGATAACATTGGTTTTTGATTTTTCAGAATAATAACCACTATTACAATTAACGTAACAATAGTCTCCTTCTTTATATCCAGTGCAATTCAACTGATAATTTTTTGATAATGGTTTTGAACATGCCGGCTTCTTACAATTAGAATACATCACACATTTCTGTAATTTCGGACTATATAGTTCTGTTTCTTTGCATTGTCGTATAATAATTGGATTTAAATATTTGGCTGATCTGAGTAAAATTGCTGATATAGATATATCAGATGATTCAAATGTTATGTTTATTTTTGATGTTAAATAAAACTGTCTACTGAGATCGTGAACAATTCGAAATTCAATTGGATTTTGAGAACACGATATAACAGTCTCAGCAGAATAATGAACATTATTATTGGAATCTAAAAGATGAATACTGATTTGATTAGAATTGCTAATGAGTGTTGACTGACCATCTGATCCTATATATAAAAAAATTGATGTAGCAACAACTGGTTTAGAAAATGATGCCAGTAGCCAATAATTTGTCTCTGAAAAATTATCACGAGGATACCACGATATATTAGAATTTGGTTCGGATTCACAGATCTGTTAAATAAATAATTATTTTATATGTTAGCATTTTAATATATTATTTATCAATGTCTAGTGTTTGAGTGAACTACCTGAAATCCAATTACTTTTAATCTGTAAGGTCTGGCTATGGAATAATAGAGTGATCAAAAAATTAGTTAATGGATATATTTTAAGAATGATTAAATCTAGTCTGGAATGACTGCAGGTACAAATACAGCTCTAAATGAGATAGTTGGGACCTTATCAGAGCAAGTGGAAAAATCCAGAGCTATTTCTCAAAATAATGCTAAAAGTCAACTGTTTTCCACTTTACTAGAAATGGCTAAATGTTCATAAATCATAAGAAATGCCATTGCATCAACTACTTCAAGGTATATACAGTATACACTATGTACTATACCCTACATCAAAATCACATGTAGACTATTGGTTCCTTTGACTTTTTTACTCCTATGGGTTTGGTCTGATAAGGTCCCAACTGTTTAATTCGGATCTTCATTTCTACAAATTGCATGCGAGTATTTATGGTTTAGTTTCTTAATTTAAAGTTACTGAATCATAGATAATAATATGCAGTTATTCCAGACTAATTTTATGCATATCAAAACAATCTTAAACTATATCTCAGTTAATTAACTTTTGATCCATTCTTGTTGGACACCATAAATTTAGTTTACATAATTCATATTTCAGAACTTTAAAATATCTGGTTTAGAAAAGCAAAATTTCTATTTAAATAAGTTTAGAAATAAAGTTTAATCTTTAATTTTTGAAGATCAGATATCAGGTTTTTCACTATTTCTTAATGGAAATGGAAAGAAATAAATTGAATGACCAACTTCTGGTTTTATTGGAGGTCCAATAACAATATCTTTTGAACAGAAATCACTGATGGATAATTGTGATGTGTTTATAGACGTTGCCCATTGATCTTCAAACTGTTCGGGTGTGTAATATCCACAGTCAGTTACACTAGTTTTAATTTCATAATCTTCACATTTACCATCTCCTTTATGCCAGTAACATAGACTTGGTTCACCTAAAATTTTAGCAATTATTCATTAAAATTAAATATTTAAAGAAACAGTTTAATATTTTAATAGATTTATTTTACCATAACACATATATGATTCTTCCATTTCACAATTCATATTGCATCCATCGTTATTTGCTAAATTTCCATCATCGCACTGCTCTTGTCTTGAAAGATGATTACTTTTAAAATTTATTATAATTTAAAATTTTCATATATATATTAGCATATATTCACCCATTAATCTTTCCATCACCACAGAAATTATCTCCATGTTTAATTCTGAGGGGTGATGACATGTGAGATGAATAATTTGGTATCAGTGCTTGAACAGTGTAAGTATAAACTTCTCCAAATTTGACATCACTGAAATGTGAATTTAAAAGTAAATTTTACACAGAAAAGTTTGGAATAATTTGTAAAATGTATAAAGTAAAATTATAAGAAATACAGATAATAACAAATACATTGATAAAAATAATTTGTATTTTAACATTTGGATAATAGTGCAATTCTGTAATTTCAAAAAACTACTTATAATAATTTAATCTTAATACAAAACATATCAACAGTTTAAAAAGTTTTACTTCTGTTAACCAGAAACAATTCAAGTTCACTTTATAAATTTATCTTGTCTTTAATTTTTGGCATTGTTAATTTTAAACAGCACTTTAAACAATGCATTTGTATGTTAAAACTTTTTAATAAATGTAATTTATATAAGCAAATAATTTCAATGGTGCTTTACCATCTTCATCAGGCAAAGCACCATTCATAAGCTTATTTTGTGTTTATTAAAAGTTTTAATGCCAGTTGTTTAGAGTGTTTAATCATTTTGGCATCATGTGTAAGTTTCAATATTTTTATTGTTAATTTTACAAGAATAAAATGAAGATGTGTAGACAATTCAGGATATTATTAATGCTATACAGAACAAGTATGGTGCCTAATTAATTACATGAAGTTACCAAAAAATAGGCTTGTTGATTATATCAAACTGTAAATTGTCAAGGTTTCATTATTTTTTAAATTTCAAAACAAATAAAAATACTTTATATATTTATGTATGAGCTTGAATACAATATACAGTGGGTGATCTGTTAACGAACAGATTGGATAACAAACACTTTCGCAAAAAATTTTTATGTTCGGACAACGAACACATGATCGAATAATGAACACCCCACAGAACAAACACAAGAAGAAGCGACATAAAATAATGAATACCGATTGGTCTTTCATTGTCTTCGGGCAACAATTTGAAACTTTTCGACATCAACTCTCAAGCCGGTATATACTGATTGGATAGTATTTCTCTGAACTTTGAAACTTTCCCTTGTGATTCCAGCCTTTTATTTTTCTGACAAAACAATTTTTTTGTGTATTCCCGAGACTGTCGGGTGGGCACTCGTTAAGTTTTGCATCTGTTTTTCTTTTCGAAAGGTGAGAGTATAATAGCAAAGGTAGAGAATGGGCAGAAGATGCCTAATGTTGCTGGGTTATATGGCGTGAACAGGTATATATACAATAGGCCTCAGTTCAATCTTATTTAAGAAAAATACTATATAATCAAGAAGACTCAAGCAGCTAAAGGAGTAACAAAAATCACATTTGAGAAATAACGAGCATTGAAAAGCTCATAATGGAACCTGAAATTGATCTAATGACAGAAGAAAGCCAAGAACCCTTGAATGAAGAACACCAAGAAACTCAGCGAGATATGTTTTCTTCTGAAAAAGAGGATTAATGCCGATATCTGTTATTAAAGATCCTTTGAAGAAGTGGGACGATGTCAGAACAACGGTCTTAGAATGGCATCCAAACCGGGTTGAGGCTTGGTGATTTCTACAATTGCAATGCTATTAATTACTTACGAAAAATCCTGAAGAAGAGAGAAAATCAATCGATATTAGACAGATTCTTTAACCCTTTCAGTATATGAANCGGAAAAAGAAGAGAAAGGACAAAAGATAAAGAAGTGAGAAAGGTTGGAAAATTAAGACTCAATATTTGCCTAACAGAAGAACTATTTAACCTTTCTGACAACTTTTTATCTTTTGTCCTTTCTCTCCTTTCACCAAATTTGGGTCTATAATCCTTTGAGTCACAACTCCAGCTTTATTTAATAATCCTTCCTCATTCACACATCTCCAAGTACATGAAAATATTTCATTTCCACTCAAAACTAAAATATGAATAAAGGTTTATGGCTTTGTGAAACTTCTTTTCTGAGTTTATGCCGTTGAAATAAATAAATAATAAAAAATTAAAACATTTGTCGGTTTTGTTTACACCTTTATTGGGCCGCATGCGGCCCGCGGGCCGCGGGTTGGACACCCCTGATCTAAATCATTGTTTTGTATTGCTTCAAAGAAATAGGTATTGAATATATTATACTTCTAATACAATATACTTATTGCTTAATTAATTTATATACTTTAAGAAGAATAATATTTTATTTTTAAGTCATATATTATATTAACAGAATTGAATTTTTCAGGTTTTATATTTAAATCCTGCAGAAAATTTCCACATTCATTGGCCAATGAAAAGAGGAAAATTAAATATTCATTCCCAAATTGGTGGATCTTTGACATCAGTATTAGCTGATATAGAGACAATTTGGGGAACTGCCATTCAACAATATTTAGAAATACCTCTTAAAGATTTGAAAGTTTGTAGTTTTGACATTATTTTCTGTATTTCTGTTATATTTTAAAATAATAACTCATGTTAATAATTATTAGCATTACAGAGCAGTATTAGTTGTATCTGATATTTATATCAGACAGCATGTGAAAGAAATAGTCAACTTACTGCTCACAAAACTTAAGTTTGGTGGCTGCTTCATTCATTTAGTAAGTATTTTATTTAAAAACTTTGAATTTGTCAAAGTGATAATGAATCATTTAATCTATTATTGATTTGAATATCAGTTAAAATTTTATTGTATTAGTATTTGTATTTATTTATTGTATTATTAAATATTATTTAGGAATCAGTCTGTGCTACATTTGGTGCTGGTCTTAGTTATGCTTGTGTTGTTGATGTTGGTGATCAAAAAACTTCAGTAGCTTGTGTGGAGGATGGTATTTCACATAGAAATACAAGGTAAATTTGCTCTATTCTTAAAATTTTTTATTTATGAATTAGTTTATGATAACTTAGAAGTAAATCATATAAGAAATGTTGAATCTAATTTCTATTTGAAGTTTTTTTTATGCCTGTAATAATCTCATTCCTGAAACATAATTCCAAATTTGTAAATTTAAATACTATTATTGTAATTAAAATATTATTTAAAATATTAAAATATTATTTGTAATTAAAATATAAATTTTAAAATATTATATGATCAGAAATTGAAAAATTGAAGATTCAGATTGTTAAATGAATTTATTTCTATTTATTTATATATTATTTCATTGAAAAATTGAATTCAAGACAATTTTAAAACAATATTCTGGTCTATACAACTATTATGGTACTTTCAAGATTCAATAAATGAACATTATTTGATGAACTTGTCTATACTGTACAGCAGAATACAGTAATAGCAGATGGAAATTTTATCAACTCTACATTTTGTGACTTAAATTTGGTTCCTAGAAAGGATTAAGTAATGAGAAATACCACCACTTTGATTGGTACACTGTTGATGTTGATATTTCACTATACTGAAATACAGAGTATTTAATTATGTTGCTTGAGAATGCTTGTGCCAATTCTGTGAATGACTCTGTATGTTTATTTTTCTTGTAATAACAATTAGAAGTTGTGTTTTACAGATTAAGCCTAAACTTATTAGTTATAAGTGCTTCCACATTCTCCTTTGTCAAAACTGCCATTTTGTCATGGGACAAAAATGTCTTATCTCAATTGGTTAGAGCTCTCAAGATCTTGAATCTAGTAGAACAGCTTGAAATTCTTGAATTCAAGAACTTTGAAAGGTCAAATTGTCTTGTCTACATTATCAAAATAGCTTGAATAAAGTTTTACATTCAATAAATTTGATTGTGTAGACATGACTTACATATAGTACAGTATTAATTATAGATATTGACATGTTCTGAAATAATAATGGAATTCTTCATTTTTGTGTAATTAATTTCATTTTAAAATAATTTATGTGTAGTTTCTGAATAAACATTATAATATTCAAAAATAATTTAGATGATAATCATTTTAGATATTAACAGAAAATCATTTNATTATAGATATTGACATGTTCTGAAATAATAATGGAATTCTTCATTTTTGTGTAATTAATTTCATTTTAAAATAATTTATGTGTAGTTTCTGAATAAACATTATAATATTCAAAAATAATTTAGATGATAATCATTTTAGATATTAACAGAAAATCATTTCAGGATTATTATAATTCAAAATAGAGAAATAGACTTTTCATTAAATAATTTATTCTAAATGAGATTGATCATTGTGTATAATAAATTCTTGTTTTAATTTAGCTTAAAATATTTAATTTATTTATATTTAAATATTTTAGATTGTGTATGGAATATGGAGGGAGATATATTATATTAACAGAATTGAATTTTTCAGGTTTTATATTTAAATCCTGCAGAAAATTTCCACATTCATTGGCCAATGAAAAGAGGAAAATTAAATATTCATTCCCAAATTGGTGGATCTTTGACATCAGTATTAGCTGATATAGAGACAATTTGGGGAACTGCCATTCAACAATATTTAGAAATACCTCTTAAAGATTTGAAAGTTTGTAGTTTTGACATTATTTTCTGTATTTCTGTTATATTTTAAAATAATAACTCATGTTAATAATTATTAGCATTACAGAGCAGTATTAGTTGTATCTGATATTTATATCAGACAGCATGTGAAAGAAATAGTCAACTTACTGCTCACAAAACTTAAGTTTGGTGGCTGCTTCATTCATTTAGTAAGTATTTTATTTAAAAACTTTGAATTTGTCAAAGTGATAATGAATCATTTAATCTATTATTGATTTGAATATCAGTTAAAATTTTATTGTATTAGTATTTGTATTTATTTATTGTATTATTAAATATTATTTAGGAATCAGTCTGTGCTACATTTGGTGCTGGTCTTAGTTATGCTTGTGTTGTTGATGTTGGTGATCAAAAAACTTCAGTAGCTTGTGTGGAGGATGGTATTTCACATAGAAATACAAGGTAAATTTGCTCTATTCTTAAAATTTTTTATTTATGAATTAGTTTATGATAACTTAGAAGTAAATCATATAAGAAATGTTGAATCTAATTTCTATTTGAAGTTTTTTTTATGCCTGTAATAATCTCATTCCTGAAACATAATTCCAAATTTGTAAATTTAAATACTATTATTGTAATTAAAATATTATTTAAAATATTAAAATATTATTTGTAATTAAAATATAAATTTTAAAATATTATATGATCAGAAATTGAAAAATTGAAGATTCAGATTGTTAAATGAATTTATTTCTATTTATTTATATATTATTTCATTGAAAAATTGAATTCAAGACAATTTTAAAACAATATTCTGGTCTATACAACTATTATGGTACTTTCAAGATTCAATAAATGAACATTATTTGATGAACTTGTCTATACTGTACAGCAGAATACAGTAATAGCAGATGGAAATTTTATCAACTCTACATTTTGTGACTTAAATTTGGTTCCTAGAAAGGATTAAGTAATGAGAAATACCACCACTTTGATTGGTACACTGTTGATGTTGATATTTCACTATACTGAAATACAGAGTATTTAATTATGTTGCTTGAGAATGCTTGTGCCAATTCTGTGAATGACTCTGTATGTTTATTTTTCTTGTAATAACAATTAGAAGTTGTGTTTTACAGATTAAGCCTAAACTTATTAGTTATAAGTGCTTCCACATTCTCCTTTGTCAAAACTGCCATTTTGTCATGGGACAAAAATGTCTTATCTCAATTGGTTAGAGCTCTCAAGATCTTGAATCTAGTAGAACAGCTTGAAATTCTTGAATTCAAGAACTTTGAAAGGTCAAATTGTCTTGTCTACATTATCAAAATAGCTTGAATAAAGTTTTACATTCAATAAATTTGATTGTGTAGACATGACTTACATATAGTACAGTATTAATTATAGATATTGACATGTTCTGAAATAATAATGGAATTCTTCATTTTTGTGTAATTAATTTCATTTTAAAATAATTTATGTGTAGTTTCTGAATAAACATTATAATATTCAAAAATAATTTAGATGATAATCATTTTAGATATTAACAGAAAATCATTTCAGGATTATTATAATTCAAAATAGAGAAATAGACTTTTCATTAAATAATTTATTCTAAATGAGATTGATCATTGTGTATAATAAATTCTTGTTTTAATTTAGCTTAAAATATTTAATTTATTTATATTTAAATATTTTAGATTGTGTATGGAATATGGAGGGAGTGATATAACACAATTATTCTATTGGCTTTTTAAAAAATGTGGATTTCCTTATAAAGAATGTTCTCCCTTCAGAACTACAGATGCTTTATTATTGCAGGAATTAAAGGAGAGTATGTGTCATGTAAATCTGGTAAGTTACATGATTATTATGATTTTCAATTATTAGAAATAATTCTGTTTTTATCAATAGAAATATTTATTGTAAATAATTCTTGTTTTGCAGATGTTAAAAAATATATAGAATTATATATTAATATTCAAATTTGATAAGTAAAAATATCTTTGATTTTTACTTATCAAATTTGAATATTAATATATAATTTATTGGAGCACTAAATTCACCATTTTTGAGTAATTCAAAATAATTATTAATGTGTGTAATGTGCATTTAGAAATTATCTTCCTTAATTTAGAATGATACACTGACAAAAACAAAGTCTGATGTGAATAGTTTGACGATGACAAGATTTGACTGAAAAGATTTTACATGATTGTTTTAAAATGCATAATAAATATAATAATAATGAAGTTATCTTAATGTTATCTAATGGGTTTCTGTTAATTTCTATTACTTCTGCATTAATTAAAAAGTTATTTTATTTTCTTCTGAAAGGCTTTCCTGTAATGTTAAAAATGCTATTTTTAGGTTGGTCGTGATAACGTTGAAATGTCATTTTTATTTTCCCAGCTGTTATACGGAGAGGAAAGTATGGCAATCTGGAAAAAATGACTTCATCAGATTTTTACATTTTTGGACTTAAAACACCTTGAAATGCTGAGAAATGCAAAAAACTTTGGGAGTAATTTCTGTATGTATGGATGTTAGTGTGTGTATGGGGGCACATTTTTGTTCACTCTGTTTGAAGCTTAATAACTCCTGTTCTTTTTGTTGAAAATTTCTGAAATTTTACAGGGAGGGTTTGTTTATTAGGGGATTGATGATATTAAATTTTAGTGGTTAAAGGTTGATGGGGTGGGGGAGATAATAGGGATTGTGTATATCTCTAGTAGGGTTGGACTTAATGACAATTTTACTAGTTATTAGCATGTACAATTTTTTATAAAACTCGCCCCTACTCTCAAAATTAAGTTTTTTGCAATTTTATAATAGCTAAAAATATAACAAGTTTTAAAATAAAATATGATAATAGATGGCACCATCAAAATTTTAAATATTAAAGGAAAAGTTGAGCAACTCATTTTTGGTTTTTATCAGTTTGATTTTAAAGAGCAGATTTCATGTTTTTCTTTTAGTAATAAATAATGGTTATATACAATCTCTCTCTCTCTCTCTCTTTTTTTTGTTTCATTGAGGGGGGAAAACCTTTCATGTATAGTTTTGCAAAAAATTTGTGGAAATGAAATATGCAAAAGGTGCCTTCATTTGATAAACAAAAGTGCAGTGAATCTGTATCAATGAAGTGAATGAGTATATATCATTTTTCCTGTTTCTTTGCAGACACACTAAGGTGACATATATCAACACTTGGCAACTTATTGACTATTTATTCAGTTGGGACGCCTTTTACATTACGCGTTTCGGGCATTGGCCCCTCTTCAGCCAACTAGACATAAAAAATAAAACATAAGAAAATTTGTACAAAAATACGCGAGTAGATAAACTGTTTTTTTAAAAAAATTTTTTAAAAACATACCATAAAACACAAACCACTATTGTACAGATGTCGAACAGGATGGACAATTTCATATTTCATATACAACTTGGATAACAAACAAGGTCGACGATAATCATTGGAGAACAAACAGGGTCGTAGATAGCAGCTTGACTACTGGGCTTTTAAATATGGCTTTCTTATAATTTACACAAAATTCAAATAAATAGATTGACAATTACAACATATCTTAACAATATTTGTTTTTACCTGTGGTTGATATTCGCATATTACACCGAAATTCATTCGATATTAGTTGTCGCCCTTTCTTTCCGAACAAAATTTCACAAAGTCATCTTAGCAATATTATCCAAACTGCCAATTTACATAGAACATACTTAAAGCAATTACATTAATTGTACAAACTAGTAATT